AAAGCACGATGTATTTTAATTCTTTGATCTGAGTCTCAGTCCCAAACTAATTGTCCAAGCTATTAAAACAACCAGTATCAATCACTGCAGAGTAATCCCACAGGCACGACTCTTTCACTTCAAAATTATTCAGGTCCCCTCTTTCCCAGCAGTAGAGATTGCAGATGTAATAGAGTCCAGAGCTGTTGTGCCTGTCAGGGTAAATGAGCTTTCCTAGTTGTATAGCAGTCCCCTCCTCTCTAATCCTCACATAGCACTGGCAGCAACCTCTAACTGTTTTGGACAAGAGGAGACTACCTGATTTTCCTCGTCCTCTCTCCTTTCCCCATAGCCTGTCTCTAGTTTTCCCAGGTGGATAATTGAGAAGTCCAATATTCTCATAGAGACTTTCTGGTTTGAGCCACCGCCAGCCAGTGTTCTCAGAGGTTTGTCTCCATTTGACCTGTAGCAAAGATCTCAGAATATGTTGTTAATTTGTCTTTACTTTGAATAGAGTCTCTTGGAGAAGATAAATAGCTTTCTGTGTTCTGATTTTGTACTAGTTTCTTTTAGCCGAGCTTGACATCGACAAGAGTCAGAGGATCTCTATCAAAGATGAGGAACTGGCTTCACTGAGGAAGGCTGCTGAGTTTGACACCATCTGCAATGAGATTATCCCCAAGAGCATCACAGAGATCCGCAGGCTGAGTAGCAGACTGTCGTCCTACCCGAGGATCCTCAAGAAAGAAGACTTTGAAAGGACAGTGCTGACCATGGTCTACACAGCCTACAGGGCTGCTCAGTCTGATGGGCACCAGAAGGACACTTGGGTTGAATCCTTTGTCAGTCTTTACAAAGCCCTGAAGCACGACCTGATGTTCCATAAAACCAAAGAGCCATCGTAATGGGAGATTTGATACAACAACAACTCAGCCATCTTTTCTGGTTGATAAGGGACACATGTAGCACGTCCACCACTTTATTCTATAAAGAATTTAATAGCCTGCTTCATGAAAGATTATTTGTTTTCTAGCTCCCTCTTGTGGAATCCACTTTATAGATACAAGTTAAATGGGGAAAAAATGTTATTTTCAGTCCCCAAAATCTGTTTTTGTGCTGGCTTAGAGGCATGTTCTGTGACTGGAAAATAAGGGAGTCCCATATGGGTAATCCCGTATCTAATCTGTATGTTTCCTATAAACAATACATAAGTACATGATGCTTATGCTCACATACTTATGTGTATGTGCTCGAAAATGCTGTTTTCCTAGCTGGGAAAACAAGTTCATGTTTCAGCTGCCCAGCAAAAGAATATTAAAAAGAGATACAAAGGTCCTCTGTAAAAGGGAGAGGATTCATTACTGTCAGCCTCCAGAAATTATGGAAAATATATTAATTCCAAATATTCTTGTAGATAAGCACTGTCTGACTCACTTCATTTGGCTGAGCTAGTTTTTAATCACAATAATATTTGTAGAAGACAAAGGGCATTGTGAACACCAGCAGCAAACAATGCCTGTGAACATATTCCCTGCTCCCCCCTCAGAACTGCCCTCCTAAACGGTCTGCAATGACTCTTTCACTGTTTGCACATGACTTTGCTTCTGCTCCTTTGTTTTTGAATAGAACATGGATTTGTCCTCAGTGGAGTCAAAGGCAAAACAAAACCCTGTTTAATTTAACAATGACAATATTTTCCTGATTCTATCACTTGAACACATATCATCTAAACCAGTGCTTCAGAAAACCTCTGAGGCAAGGGAAGAAGGTGGATTAAAACATACCTGGTGCTGAATTCATCAGTGTGGCTCATTTTTTATTGTTTTTTGAACTGTTCACCTGTGTACATGTGTGTGCATGTTTGTGCATGTGTGTGTATGTATTTGCATGGAAAAATCCTTTTTGTTCACTCAGGGAACAATTATATCTGACCATCTAGCAGAAGAGGCTGTTCATCAGTCCAGCATTGGAAATCATGAATTTGGGAACAGAGGAAAAACAGTACTTGTTTATAGCAAAACCTGTTTGTAGAAGTAGTGCAACAGATTATTACAAATTGGAAAATATATATATATATATATATATATATATATATATAATGGAAGATTATATATAATGGAAGATGTGGCTGTAATGGACAGGAAAAGGAAATTTATCTTGTAACACAAGTGGCTAGCAAAGAAAGATCTAAATCTAAACTTTTCTACAGCAAAACCACAATTTTTTATCAACAAGTTGTACAAATGCTGTTTCTCCATTGGTATTAGAGGTGTTTCTTCTTCCAAAGCGAGGGAAAAAAAGCTGAACATATTTCGTTCTTTCATACCAGCACTCTCTATCTATTTACAAAATATCTTAAGGAGATGGTTTCAAATCACAAAAACATGAGACTCTAAAGGGCAGCTGAAGACCCTAAATCCAGTTCTGAGACATGTTTAATTGCTTCTGTATCACTTGAGCAAAGGAGCATTAAACTCTATGTCCTTTAACAAGGATACTACAAGGACTGGAGCTGAAAAAGTCCATCCAGCATCACCTGGTTGTAGCTAACCAAGTGGCTGCAGCAAACCAACATTGCAAGCAGTCAGAGCATATTGGGCTTGGCAATCACCCATGGGAATGTGGAACCACAGCAGCCTTACAGGCAGGCTAGAAATGGCATAACTAGCTGGAAAAGGGGCATATAAAAGTCAGAGACAATCCTGTTCCTCCCTAGCAGTTACAGTATCAGCATGCATGGGTGTACATCATTGCATGTATACATGCATATGTGTAGATGCATTTTTACACCTGAAGACTTTTGCTGTCCATCTTCAAAGACTTACTGGTTTATATAAAAGGAAACTGGAAACCTCAGCCACAAATATATCCATTTTCTGTACTTGCACACACAGTTCAGCACCCTCAAAGCAGCCTTGTGCTACAACTCACATGCTTTTTAAAGCCTTCAGCATAAACTGTTGATCTGCTTGTGTTTTCTTCCTACCCTATGCTTTACAAACAGGGGGAGAGGGAATGCCAGCACATTCCTGCCTTTCCAGTTCTACTGATTCTTGGCTTGCTGAATCACTGCTTTCTGGAAGAGCCTGGAACAGCAACTCTTAAATCCCTTGCAGCCAGTGACTCCAAATATGCAAAGATAACAGAAAAGAGCACCACAGCAAGTATTAATTGCTGGCAGTGATCATCCACAAAAATACTTCCCAGCTACCCTCCTCATCCCACAACAGAACTGTAAAGCAGTGAAGGTTTAACCATCACTATGTATCATAGGCTCTTTGGAAAAGAATTACAGATAGTTTTGAATGATGGGTGATCATCCCCTATGGCATACACACCTTGCAAATTGGTGTTGAAACCTTTATCTCCTGAAAAGAAAATAAAATATTTCTGAGTTTGTTTCAGCCCTTGCATTACTCTGTGTAGTGTAGGTAAAGAGATTTATTCTTCATGAATGTGCTTGGACTGCCCAAGTTAATTTAACAGAAAAATATTAATGTAATAATAAAAAATATTTTGCATAAAACTGTTTATCCATTGTATTGATTTCAGCAGCAGATTTTTTATTTAGTGACTGGCAGAAAGGAAAACAGGTTATTTCAGTCTGTAAAACTGTGCAATTAACAGTACAGGAGAGAAGGGAGCATAGCGCTTCCCTCTATGGAGCAGGATGTGGTAATAAATGGGAACAAGGGTGTCTCCTTTTTCCAGAGTTCTTGTGGGAAGGAGCACTCTGCCTCAGGGCAGATCTCTGAGTTTAGGGCAGCTTCCCTCCCTTAGTATTGCTTAAGATACATGTGCAGGTTGTCTGCTCCTAAAAGAGAAATATAGGTAGAAGACTGTTGGCTATCCCTAGCTCAACTTGCTTCTCATTTCTTCAGACTGAGTCATGTTTATAGATGTTCCTTCTTTCATGGGGTAAAAAGTCATTGTCTCTATTATAAAATTTTATCCACCCTTTGACCTTCCAGATCTTGAAAAAGTGAAATAACACATATTTTAAATTTATAATAATGATAATAAATTTTGAATATTTAAATATTTTTGTTTTTTGTTGTTGTTTTTTTTTTTTGTTTGTTTGTTTGTTTGTTTTGTTTTATTTATTTATTTATTTATTTATTTTAAAAACTACTGCCAAAAAGAGACTTAAATTCCCTGGCTGGATTGTACAACCCAAAATCTTCACATTGATTACATTTTTGCTTCCAGATCTAATTTCTAAACTTGCCTGAAGGCTTTCAGGGTGTTGTTGCTTGACATTACTTTCAAGGCATAGAAACATTACATAGTCTCATATACAGTTATGAATTTTAGGAAGAATTCAAGCTGCAAATCAGACTCCTATGCTGAAGCAGTCTCATCTGACACAGGTCTGCCTTTTCCAGTCCTCCTGGACTCAGTGTCACAGAAGCATCCCAGCTCAGCTGGGGGAGCTCATCTTCTGTCTGATTAGCAGAGCAAGGCAAGCTGAATAGGTTCAGGAGCACAGAAAATCTCAGGTGCATGACTTCCAGGGAGACCCAGAGCAAATGGATGTCTGCAGGTTGTGCCTGGGTCAATATATTCACTCATAATTTTGCAGTACTTTCTGTTCCACAAAGAGAGCACTGAAGAGCAGTAGAAATGTTCCTTCAAAAGACCAGAGTAGAAAGCCTAAAAATTCTGAGTTTGTGTCGGAATCCTAGTGTTACTGAAGGCACATGAATCAATGTTCATGCTTTATGAATAAAAGGCATTCAAGATTCAAGATGAAAAAACCATGAAAGACAAAAGGTATTGTCCAGAAAACAATGATTATTTGTTTATCAGTACTGGGACCTTGAAACAATAACAAACTGTTCATCAACTGAAAAAAATATATAAATAAATCTTTGTGTGTGTGTGTGTCAGAAAGAGGAGTCTGCTGATTTTCTCAAAATTTGTGACTGCGTTTTGGATAATGGGTGGAGCAACTACAGCATTCTGCAGTCCTCATTGGTGAATTAAAAAAAAAAAACTTTTAAGACTTTTTTTTTTTAAAATCTTGAGACTCTTGAGACCAAGTATAATCTATATTGGAATTGCTACTCTTTGAATTCCAAGCTCGGGGAAAAAGTGGGCTAAAGGTAGATTCAAAGTAGAAGCCAAAATTATAGCAGAGACAAAATCTGAACAGAGAAGATATAAGGAGCTGGAGTTAGTTGGTTTTTGTTTGTTTGTATTTTTTTGTTTTTTTGTGTTTGTTTGTTTTTTTTAAGAAAAAATACAAGTTTTTTCTATGCAGTGAACAATATGTTTTTAGTATTAATTATTTTCCAGCAGAAAATAAACCTATATTTGAGGCATTCAGACTAATTAACAGGAGAAAAAGAGGCATCCCAAAAGATATCTCACCCAGTCTATGAAATAGGAGTTGCATTGCTGGAAATCAGATGATAGAAGAAAAAAAAAACTTTCAAAACATGTTTTTATATAGCTATATCTGTGATTCTGAATTAAAAGAAAAAATGTCAAAAGACCATTATGCTCCAATTTACAAACCTCTGCCTGTTATGGTGTGATAATCCCTTGGATGTGCTGATGAGCCCTACATAAACTGAATGCCTTTTTAATAGAAAAATTATTAGGATTTCTCTCCAAAACAACAGCAAGAATAATAAACAAATTAAGAAAGCTGTTTGAGTTAATTTTGTAGAAATAGGAAACGAGGCAGAGAGAGCCCTTTCAGGGAAATCCAGGCAAAGGTGAAGGAAAATGTGGAGTGGAAACTGGACTATCTGAGGAACCCAAGAAGAAACCCAAGGAGAAGAAAGCCACTGAGAATTAAAGGAGTATGGCAATGGTGAAGGAGATTCTCCGATCCAGAAATCTCTTACTCGTGGTTTTCATTCCACTTCTGCTGCTTCCTCTGCCACTCTTATACCCCAGCAGTGTAAGTACATTTTCTTTTCCTTTTTCACAAACCTCTTTGTACAGTAGGCAGTTTTGATGGATAAGCTAGCAGTAGTCAAAAAGTAAGGCAAGAATTGAGAACAAACAAACAAAACAAAACAAAAAATGCTCTTAGAAACAAGGACTCGAATCTGAAGTAGTGTGAAATACAAGTCATTAAGCAGTCATCACAGTAACAACTAGAGATAGTATGAGTAATGTCACAGGCAGAGCTGAAGAACAAGGTGAAGCACCATTTTAAGGCAGAGAAACTGCATCTCTTCTTTTTCTACAACACCATTTGGGTGGAAGTGGAAAACAGAACATTTCCAATAAAATTTTGTTTAGAGAGAGGTGTTTAAAATGAATACTTCAAGTGTTTTAGTTTTTAGTTTTTAAGTATGCATCGATGGACTTTAAATTGGATGTGAGTTTGGAGGACAGCTATTCAAGTGAGTGAGGAACTAGGACTCAATGACAGACATGTAGGACCAAACATGACATCCACTACTGGCTACAACTCCTCTGCATATCTCTGCAGTTCTCAAAATAAAAAAATAAAAAAATAAAAAAAAAAAGTTTCCTACCTTATAGAGATGGTGATGTTTAACTTATCAGCATTTACAACATGCTAAATATTCTGCAGCTGTGGCTTCCACAGAGCTAGACATAAATCTGGTGCAGCAATTTCCATTCCTTCCTCTACTCTGTAAAAGATTAATTCTTCCTTCTAGCACTAGAGGATTTATGAATACTACTACTTTACCAAATTGAAATGTAAAGGATTAGAAATTGTATAGCAATTTTCAAAATTAAATTCATGGAAAGGAATGCTAGTACAAATGGTATGTTGCAGTTTGAATGAGTTTTCCTGCTTGAAACTTCAATATATATTTCAGCTGCAATCTTATAGTATCCTTTCATCTCTTCTGTCTTGAGAAGAAATGAATGACAGACAATCATGCCTTCTCCAGAGAACAGTAATGCACACTTTTTTACAGAAATGTGTGTTTAAAAGGGTTTCATCTCCCGCAGTGTCTCTGAAAGGATGACATGAACAGATTCTCTGTGATATTCTTATATGGCACTGTAACGGTAGCATGCTTCATATCCCTTGAGAACCTCTCTTAAGCAACATGAGATTCACTGCACTTAATGTTGTTATTCATGTTCACTCACTGCTGGAATCAGAGGCACAGGATGTAATAAGGAAACTCTAGTAACCAAGGGAATTGTAATAGCATCATGTGGGTTTTGGAACGGAAGTTCAGTGACAGTATTGCTGCAAGAACTGCTATTATACAGCATGTGTTCCTCTGCACTATTATTCTGCACCTTGTAGTGTTGCTTTACTGCAAAGTGATATGAAAAGTCATCAGATGATGTTTTAGATTCACTTTGTTTATAAGTGAATGACCACAGAAGTTAGAGCATAGCTGTGAACCTGACCCTGAGCTGGATAAAAGTTTGTAATGCCATTAAGAAAACATCTACACCTAATAAACTCAGTTAACAGGAAACTATTCGAGTGCCTTAGTGTAGTATTTACTTTGTTACAACCCACTGACTAAGATTACTTCTTAAATCTGAATATTAAATGTGTTGCCTGCTGACATATATTTTCAGTTACCAGACAGTTGTAGTAGTTTTCTGTCTTATAGGGTTCAAAATGGCTAGGTGAATTGTATTTGTGTTTCATCTTGCATCTTCCTTGTTGATATCAACACAATACTGGAAGTGTCAAAGTACCAGTACATATGTAGTAGCAAGGGACATCAAAGGAAGCGTGAGGACTCAAAACTGTTTGGAGATAAGATTTACAGATCATATACACATTTTCTTTTCTAGTATCTTGTGACAAAAAATGGTTGGAAAAAAATACACCTGGGAAAAATTTTTTGAACTCTTCTTCCCTTCCAAAACTTATACCTGCACTATAACTTTTATAGCAGATGTGGGGCACCCATAAGCACCTTTCAGGCCATGGCACGTACCAAAAAACAAATGAAGAGTCTGTGTTTTCTGGCCTGTGGGTCTTTTTCATCCTGTCTTAATTTCCTTCATTGTTAACAGTAATGGGGAAGCATTTCTACCTTATTTTTTATCTTTATCTACATTTTTTTGTAAAGCCAATAGTGATACCATGGAGTATCACATCAATAGAGTCAGTAGTGGGCAAGATCTCCTGATACTGCTGATCCTGTGCCAAACCATGTTCCTCAAAAGGCAGCAAGAGGTGCTGTAAACTGTGAGACCATCAGGTGATGCTGACAGCTTGATATGCTACATCCGGGGGATGGAGCCTGATGCACAGAACAGTCTGAATAGTAACAGACAGCACATTTTTGTTAACTTTTGGTTTTATGTATACAAGCTGAAGAGAGGGAATTACAGTGTGATCCTAACAGCTCAAAGATGGTAGACCAGACACTGAACTGAGTTTTGTTTTTATTTTTGTTTTTGTTTTTCCTCATGACTCAGACACATGCATGCATGCAAGATGTGTATCGTTCATCCTTAAGTGGGCAAATCTTTAATCCAAAATTTGTTTTCAATCACTCTGAGATCCTCAGACACTTCAGTTATTAAAGCTTTATGCATGATCCTTGTGGAAGTTTTAGCCATGACTTCTTATTCTGCCCTCTTTCCCGTCTCCTTAAAGGACTGACTGAAATTAAGTGGTAGTCCCTCCAACCATCACATATGAGCTCACTATGTTGTGTTTTCCTACCCTCTGCTTCAATCCATGAGGTGGCCTAACCTTCATTTTCATCTGTACAACAAGAAGAGTGGCAACAGTTGAAATTATACTGTTTTTTACTTCAATCCAGTAATTAGGAGCTCTGGTAACCATTAACTAAATATATAAACTCAATTCAATTCACTAGAAGATATTAATTTAGTTAGTGTTGGAAAAGAGCTAGTTTAGAGCACTGAGAGGATAAACAGTGCAAGTAGGAAATAAGTAACACAAAGACTTAGCTCCTGCCCCAGACAGTTTTTGACAGAGATGCAATTTCCTTTTGTTTTGTTTCACTTCCACTGTTATTCTGTTGCTACATGCAGACAGGCAATATAGAATAACAGTCTATGTTCAAAGAGATTCAAGACAAATATAAATTTGGAAGGAGAAAATAATTTGGGATTGGATTAAGATAAAATGAACACTGGGAATTTTGACAAAATATATATCTTGGATGTTACATCTGCACTGATTTAAAATAAAAATTAATGTTGTTTCATTAAAAAGGACTTGTTTCCTCAAAACTGCTGGACATCATACAGAGCCCATGAATACATACTAACTTGTTAGCAGAAATTAACAAGTTAAAAAATAATTTTCAAAAAAGTGTTAAATAGTTATTTGGTAACCAAAAAGGACCTTTAACTTTGCTCTCTGTGGAATATTAACCATGAAGTCAAATGCAGTTAAAATTGACTAAGCAGCAAGCTGGCTAGTGTTTATGAGTCCTGTGACTCATACATAAAAGAGTTTTGCCTTTATATTTGAGATTACTAAAAATGTCTAATCCCTGTATTCTCACTTTTTGAAATGATTTCCATTTTAATTCCTATTTTTTTTGAGGTGGTCACTTCAAGCTACTACAGACTGAACATCAGCCCTTCAGTGTTTCAAAGAATATAGCAATGCTATTTTGTAAAATGCATGCTTATAATACTAATATTCATGAATATTAAAAAATACCCTCCCCAACCCGATCCCATTCTTTCTAACACAATCTTCTCTAGCCTCTCTTACAAGTTCTTCTCAGTAGCACCAAAGCTACAACTGCAATAAAAGCTTTTAGCTTGTTGAGTTCTTTTAGTTCAGGCACCCACAAATTGATGAGTCCCATGAACACCTTCACAATAGGTGGTATGACAGCAACATGTAACCTCAGTGCTTTCTCCCTACAGGAAGCCTCATGTGCCTACGTGCTGATTGTGACAGCTGTGTATTGGGTTTCTGAAGCGGTACCTCTGGGTGCAGCAGCCTTAATTCCTGCTTTCCTATATCCACTTTTTGGAGTCATGAAGTCCAGTGAGGTCAGACCAGTGTGCACTTTTTTATAACTTGTTACTCACAGTTAATTATTTGAAGAAAACAAATCTTAGTGGACTAGCAAGACTGGGAGGAAGAAGTGTACATCTTACAATGTGTAACTTGTGCCAACCAGCACTTTCTTCTGTGGAAGAAAGCTAGACGTAGGAAAGGCCATAGTAGCCAAGAGGGATGTTCATCTTATCAGCTACTGCATCACCAGCAATGGCCTTTGCCTACTCCACCTAAGGATATGACATTTCCCCTCCTCCAAAATTGTATTAACAGTATTTATGGGATAAACTGGAAAGTGGAATGTTTTATTTTAGTAATAGATGGAAGATTTACATGACTTATAGATGACATGTAAAAGCATGAGGCTACACATTCTAAAAACTATTACCATTTACTGTATAAAATTAAATACTTTTAATATCCAGGTAAATGTTGAGTCCTTTTTTCCAAGCTGTAACCCTAGAGTTGCCTTGTAGTCATTATTTCTAAGGCAAAGGAGTAGCTGTATAAAAAGTCTCTTTGATCAGTTCTGAATTTGCTTACTTAAGTTTCTCTTGAATGTCATTTCCTTTCATGATATGGCAAGAATTTTTTTGATTTCATCTACAGCTTTTTTCTCACTTTTCTCTCTTTCTCTCGGAAGGGGGGGATGGAGAGGGGATAACACTTGTTTTTTTAGGACTAGAAATACAGATAAAAACACAGAAGAATATAAAGAAACCATAAGGTAGTTGAATTTCTAACACAATCTAATACTATGCCTACCCATAAATGGATTGAGTCAAGCATTAGCCAAGAGTTTTATGACCTGTCTTATTCCTCCCAATGGTGTAACAGCTGTGTAATATAACCAGGTACATTTCTATGTCAACACAGTTAAATATTTTCAGTTGATTTTTTTTTTCTTAACAAAAAGTTAAAGTAGTTACACTTTTTCATTTCTAAACTCTGCAGCATATGAGAGAAGGAAAATTTAGGGGTAGCCTGACAGAAATTCAATGCAACATCAAATTAAATGGCAGTGGGACTACTGCAGAGAATATATTACTTACTTTAGGAACATAAATAAATAAAACCCTGTATTTTAAAATAAGCAAGTCTGATGATGCTGCAGTATTTCCAGTCTGCTTTTCCGCAGTGCCATAGAAACCAGGTCTCAAGCTTTGCAGTTTGAGCTACACATAACTCACAAGGGCTTAAGAGCATGAGCCTGGGTGTTGTATGCGTGTACATGTGTATTAATAAGAACATTAGCATTCACTTTTTTCTCCAAAATAACTGTGAAAGGGATAAAGTGAAACAACAGATTCTTTGTGCTGCTGATTCGACGGATTCCTTTCATTCAGTTCAAGATTTTTTTGAACAAAGTAGAATGAAAATAAATAAAGTTAATGAGAAAGTAACCAGTGGAAGAAAGCCAAAAAAAAAAACAACACTCATATTTAAAATTTCTGGCACACAAACATGATGGCCAAGTCTATTTAAGGTTTGTTAAATATAAGTAAATGCTTAACACTTACTGTAACATTCACAAAATATTAGAGACATTCATGAACGTTTATGGAAGAGGACAATGGAAGAAATGCTATTTCTACTGATTTTAATTGCTTTAAAATACTCGAGTCTACATTTTATTACACGAATAGTTGTAAACTGAAGAGCCAATGTTTAGGGAAAAATATTCCAGAAATACTTTGTGAAAAAATTCATTGGAAGGAAGAAAAAAATCAGCTAAATTCCAAGCATCCAATTATATACACTATTTCTACCATTTAGCTTGTTTTCACACATAAATGTGTGCAGGTGTGTGAATGTTCTGGTTTGTTTCTTGTTTGTTAATTTTGTAGTAGCTTCACAGACATTTTCTCATATCTTAGTGAGTCCTAAATTCAAGAATTTTGCTTTGGAGTGTTTTCTGCATGGTCTCTGAATATTTTCCTAAGACATGTTTTTTGTTTTGTTTTGTTTTGTTTTGTTTTGTTTTGTTTTGTTTTTTAAACTTCACTTCTTTTCTTGACACAATGCAGGCGTCTTTCCACTGTGAAAAGTTCTGGTGCAGTGTCTAAAGACGGTCACAGCAATATTTGCTTACTGTATTCAGAGAGATAGTTGAACATAAGAAATACAAATGAGATAGACAATTATATTTGCATAAAGAAAAAGATGATGAAGCACATGAATAAAGTGCCCTCAGTGCAGAAGTGTACATAGGGCCATTTCAGTGTGGACCTCACTGCATATGATTAACTGCAAGCAATGAACATCCTGCCCAGAGAAGTAAGATTTCTCTCAGTCTCTTCAAAACTGAGAAATCTACAGACAAGTGGGCATGGAGCAATGTTATTTGTAAATGCAACATAAAAGAAATTAAAGAAAACATGAATAATTAATTGTTCGTTTTCTCCTGCTTCCTCTCATTCTTCTGGTGTAAGGGCAGAAACCTACAATATGTCTTGTTATTCAGCATGTTCTCTGTGTAGGATACTTACTGATATTTTTTAATTGATTATTTCTCTCTTGCCTTTAATGCAGGTGGCTGCAGAATATTTCAAGAACACAACTTTGCTCCTAATGGGTGTGATTTGTGTAGCAGCTTCCGTAGAAAAATGGAATCTCCACAAGCGAATTGCCCTGCGAATGGTCATGATGGCTGGAGCAAAGCCAGGCATGTGAGTGAGACTTCAGGGTAGTCTGAGGTTCACAGCAGCAGCTTGAAAGATCAAATAATAACTTAAACTTCTCCATCTACAGGAAAAAGCTAGCTCAGTCTGGGGAGACTATTCCTACCATTCCTTCCAGAGTTTGAAAGATTTCAAATATTCTCTCTCTCTCTCTCTCTCTCTCTCTCTCTTTTTTCTTTTTTTTTTCTTTTTTTTTCTTTTTTTTTTTTTTTTTTTTTTGCCACCTCTTACTTCTTGGCTTATTTTTCCATTGCTTCCTATTTTTTACTTATTCCTTGTTCCTAGTCTCCTAGTCTCTCTGTTCCTTCTTTGCCTGTTTAGCAAACATAAAAGGATTCTTAAAGTATCCCTGGAAGTGCTGAAAATTGGCGTTTCTCACATCACATGATGGTTTCCAAGTGAGGCAACAAAGGGCTTTCAATGATACATGGTCTTGTGACAGTTATTAGCACAAAGCAGCATTTTATCCAAGCACAGAATAGTATTTTGGTACCCACAAAGAAAAAAAGAAAATGACCTTACAAAGTTACCATTGGTCTAACAAAAATATTAGGTAAGAAAACCTTTAATATTTGTGAAAGTGCCTCAAGGTCTTACTGTGTTGTACTCCAGGTTGCTTCTTTGCTTTATGTGCTGCACCACGGTGCTCTCCATGTGGCTTTCCAACACATCCACCACAGCCATGGTGATGCCAATTGTGGAAGCTGTGCTCCAGGAGCTAGTGAATGCTGAGGAGGAACGTGATGTCATCAGTACTGCAGGCAGCACCATTATTGAAGAAAACGAGCCAATAGGTATTTGCCAATGTTGGCCATTCTTTTCTTATTTATCAGTGACCAGAATCACTGACACACGAGTCAAATTCTACTGAGGTCAGGCAGAGTTGTCTGATTTGTACTGCCAATGATGCTAGTCCATTCTTTTTCTTTCTGCACAGTGATATTTCTTTCAAAACTGAAAGAGAGTTTCAAGATGTGATGGAAGAAGTGGAGCTGGGAAACTATTTAGGTTGAATCATGGGATGAGCTGGAATCTGTGTGTCATAAACTCTTAGGTCATGTAATTTTACAGGGTCAGAAGGAAATCTCTGTGAAGAAACTGAAAAAAAAAAAAAAAATCTTCTGGACTGATAAGAATTTTAGAGGCTTTTAATGTTCATTCCTTCCCAGAAAGCAAGGATTTGAAAAGAAAAAAAAAATTACTTCTTCTTTCATTTCAAAGATTCCAGCCAAACAATGTAATCTGACTTTTGTCAGATGTCATGAGGACAACACAACACAAAAATAAAAGCTGCATAACAGTCAGAGAGTACCTGAGAAGGTTTAGACAAACAAGTTCGTTTGTTTTTTTTTTGAACCTCCAGGTTCAGTGGCATGGCGGAGGGGCTCAGGTCAGTTCTTACCCCAAGAGCTGCTTTCTCTTCCTTCATTACAGATCTCAGCGAAAGGCATGACCAACCTTCACTGGAGCTTATCTTCACCAATGAGGAGTAAGAATGAACCCTGTACATCACGACTGGAGATTTGAACCCTACACAGGTTGCAATGAAATGAACCTAGGAATAGAGCCAGGAAGGGCAATCAAAAGCTTAAAAGTGAATGTTTTAGATGCAACTAACAAGGAAGGCTTATGTGAGAAATAGAATTGATGTAATGGTCTGGATGTCATGAAACCTTGCCAGGATTCATTTATTATATTTTGTTTTATTTTAACACTATGGCCATTATAAAGGGAAAGAAACATCCACTTACAGAAGATTCTTGAGAAAACCCTGAATGCTAAGAACATTCAAGAGACAGATGACAGAAGAGGGGTAAACAAAAACAAAAATAATAATAATAATTAAAAAAAAAAAAAACTGTAAAAGATTATTAGATTTCTTTGAATACAGCCAAGGTTATTCAAAAGTTTGAACCACTAACAGTTTCAACCAGGTCTCTATTTGGGGTAGAATAAGGGCAGATCAAGGAAATGACTAATTTCAATGTCAAATTATCAAATTAACCAGCTAGATAGGAGAATATACAAAGTTCTTTTCCTCAAACTATACTACAGATACATTCTGAGAAAAATCTTACAAGATATGAGATTAAAATGCACAATTGTTTCTTGAATTCCTTCTATTTTATCTCTAAGAGTTCAAAATAAAAGAGAAACAAGCTCTGGTCACACCATTTAAAATTTGCTTTAAAACAAATATTATTATCCAGATGGCTCATGTTGATGATTTTAAGTTACCTTGCAAGTTCTGAATAGTTTTCTCATTTGTTTGGAGATTAATGCACTCTCCAATATTTTGTCCACTATCTCTTTTAATCCTAACCATATTTTCTTCAGTATAGAATAAAAACTTTCAGTCTGACATTATGTCATTAATTCCTTTAAGCCGTATTGAAAAATATGTGAGGGATATTTCATAACAGAACTTTCATAACAGAGCTACTATTAAAATAGTATTACTTGAAAGAGAGCTTGAAATTTGTTGGGAAATGAAAAGTAGCCCATCTTCTGGAATTAAATATGATTTCAATGACAAAGTTCATTGGAATGTTTGCGTGGTCCATATGACACAAGAGAGATTTTAGTGAAAAACTTTAATGTGGCACAAGAAAGTGCTCAGAAACAGCATTGAAGAAGCTTGTAGAGGAAAAACTTAAGTAGAACAAGACAGTAGTAACACTGGATTGCACAGTGATTCACTCCACTGTGAATGGAGTCCATTCCTAGAATGTAGTATACACAACTAAGAATACTTATTTTTACTTACATGGAAGTGGAATCTCATCACTGCTAGGCTGGAGGCAGAGCTATGGAACATTATGACTTTTCCTCTATATATGCCCAAGATACCAAAAAAAGAGATATTAATAAATGTTGTTCTTCACCATTTCAGTAGGCACTAGTTCCACAGATATTGCCCTTCCTACCAATGATTTGTGCCTTTTGGGGGAGCAGCAGGGTGAACAGGCATTTTTAAAGTATATTTTCCTTTCTTTGTTTTTAGTGCTACTACTACTGACTTCAGCTCCTTGATGCATTCAAAGGTATTGTCATAGGTAGTACCTGTATCTTCTGAGCTATACTGCCTGGTAATGCCATCAGAGCACAGTCTACATAGCTCTACAACAAACTTACATTTCCTTTATTTTAAAAAAAAAAAAAAAAAGTGGTTGTTGGGAAAGAGTAAAGAGACTGAATAGTACAAGATGTCCAGCTTTGTATTTAACCTATCAGCCTGCTTGCACAAATCAAGATGGGGAACAATAACTTTGTAGGGTTTACATCTGAGATGTTTCAGTAGGTTAGAAAAAACTGCATCTCTTACAAAACCATAGTCTCTAGCAAGGGATCTGTTAGATCCTCCTACATGGCAGAAGGAGAAATCTTAAACTTATTATAATCTGATTTTTAACATCACTTTAAAATAAAAATAGTATTAAAAAAAAAAAAAAAAAACTTATGTTTTTTTTCCAGTATAAAATTTATAGCTGAAATTTTAGATTTTTTTGTTGTTGCCAGTGTTGTTGTTGTTTGTTTTGTTTTATTTTGTTTTCTTTTGAAAGCCCACAGCCCATGACCTTTGCAAAGCATCATCTGTTCTAATCTAAGTGTCTCCAGGAACAGAAGAAAGGCTAATCTAAAGGCATTTGCCTCCCTACAGAGTATGAATAATGTGCACATGATAGCCAATCCTAATGGAACGGTAAATTCCAAGAGCAACGGGCAGCACCTACCTCAGGTAAGGAAATGTTAGACATGGAGGATAACGGAAACGACAGAGATGAACATCATCTGCTCATCACTGCTCACTCACATCTTTGTTCCTTGTAAGCCAATTTGTATGGAATTACTCTCCATCAACTTAACCGCGGTCACATTTTAGCCCTATGCTGATTCTTGCTCCTATTTAGACACACACAGCACAGATATTTTTGGAGAGCCTTCCCCCAGTAAGATATTTCCTAATAGCTAGTACAATTCATTTGGCTTTATCTTCAGTTTAATGACCACAAGTTTCCCTTGTTTGATCGTTCTACCCACTTTATTTCTACAAAGTCTCCCTGGAAAATACTGCAACACAAAAAAACATCAATTCCTGACACACAACATACTAACAGCATACATGAACCATTTAACTGGGTTTGGCAGTCTTGGTATCCTCCTCCTTTCTGTTCTGACAAATATCCTCTACCAAAATCCTCCATTACATCACTCCAGTGCAGTATCTCTACTTTTCCTGAGTGGATCCAATGAGTGGCTGCTGTTTCTTCTACAGTTATATACTACCTAAATGGCATAAGTTGATCTCCAGAAAAGATTAACCTAAACTCAGCATATGTATTTTTATTAGTAGTTCAAAAGAATCTAAACATGTGTTTCTAAAATAAAGGCTAATGTACTGCTCCTGATATTTAATTTCCTGTTATATCCATTTTCTATTTGCATTCAGTGGTTATTTTGCTGCTAGTAAACTTGTTTCACTTTTAACCTACAGGGATGTGAACCAGAGTACTCACAAGAATGATGAATCTACAGCATAACTTATTTTATGACCTAAACTCAAATTCAAATTAACAATTTAACAGACCTGTTAACTCCCCTGCTATCTTTCTCCTGATTCTAAATTACAGCCTTGGGTTGCATTCTAAGTGCTCTGAAGTTCTGTACCTTTTTTTTTTTTTTTTTTTTTTTTTTTTTTTTTTTTTTACCAATTTCCAAGTGCTTGATTTACTAACATGGCGTCTTTCCTGTCACTGTTGAGAAAACTTTTGGAGCAATATTTTTTTCTGTAACTTTTTCTTTCATATCACCATTGCCCAGCCTGTTTCATGCACTTTCTGAGAGTCCTAACACTCCTTTCTTAGTAAGAGGCCCTAAGCCAGTATGAGTGCAAAAAGTCCACCAAGCATTTGTCTGGTGGCTGCTCATAAGCCTCAAGGATTACAAATTCTTTCTACTGCAGTGCTGGCATCCTGCCTCTGCAACCCACAAAGGCTTTTGGTATCCAGCTGAGATTCCAGTAAGAACTGGAGTTGACCCATACCATGGCCAGAAGCCCAATTACTGTTTGTCCTATATTTCTGCCTCAGGACAGGCAACTTCAGGCTCCTGGACAGGTTACTAGCTCTGATCTCAACTAATACCCACGAAGAAAGAAGCTTGCTCCCTTTTATGCAAACCTATTGTTTCTTTGAGACCAGTAGCATCACGGCATTAGAAAAATTTAGGTTGCTGTTCTAAACTCCTGCTTTCTTTGGTCAATGTATCTCCTCACAGGCTCAGATACTGGTCCTGCCTCCTCAGCCCTCAGAACCAGACCTGAGCACTAAATTCCGGTATCAGTCCAGACATGACCACATGGTCTGTAAATGCCTCTCATTAAGCATCTCCTATGCAGCAACCATTGGAGGACTGACAACCATCATAGGGACTTCTACTAGCCTCATATTCTTAGAGCATTTCAACAAGTAAGTGACATTGTGAGTGCATGAGAATATGGTTGTTTCATTATCATATCTGTGGCATTCCCCATGGGTTATTTATTGCCTCAGGGAACTCTTCTAAGATGGTCTCTCTGAAGACAGTTTTCTTTCCTTCTCTACTAACATTTTTTCTAATGATTAACGGTTGAAAGGGGAAGCTTAAGTTAATATGTATCCATGTCCTTCTCTCATGCAAAGTAAAAACTCCTCAGCATGTGATATTTCTTCAGCAACTTCTGTTGATATTACAAACCAATTATCATGAAAGCAGCAGACACCCAGGAAAATTACTTTCTAAAGCCATGCAGACATAATAATGAAGACAAAAGGAAATCTATGCAAAAGGTGAAAAGTCATAAAACCTGCCTCAAGTTTTTTCTATGTGTTCTTAGAAAGCCAGTTCTTGAGGTGAATCTATAGGCATCATTGGTGTGCTGTTCGACATGTGGTACAAAAAATAACTACATTTAGAAATGTGGCCTTACACCAGAAAGCAGCTCTGAGATCAGTTAAATATTCACTTTATCATATATTCGCAGGAGTCTCAAAAACACAAAGATAGCTCTGTGAGAAGACCAGTAGAACTTCTCTTTATGCACAGATATGTAATCAAGCTCAAAGCTGATTCTCATTATCTAATGCTGCCATTGCTGTCATAATATGCTGCACTTCTCTCTCTGAAATGGTGGCAACAAAGAAAACTGAATTCAGAACTCATCCCTAGTTCAAGAATTTGGATTTCACGGTATTTCCAAAGACCTTGTTATTATGACACTTCTATCAAATGCACATAGCAGACATCTTTGTCAGAACCTGGTAGAATATAGTTTTTATTTTATCATCCACAATAAGACATACAAAGATGTTCTGGGTGAATCATTCTTAGGTCTGTTGATGCTTAAATGATTTCTAACAATAACCTTAAGTAAGGCCAGGATCTCATTCCTGGTAACTGTAAGAGCTTTTTGAAGCTGGCTGGACAATCCAGACCATCTGGTCTTAAAGGTGTGAAGTGCTGTAGGGCTCATCTCTTGGTCAAGCATGGTCAGCGACTGACATTCTTTGGTAAATAGCTTTAATATTCATAGGTATTGTGTCTGTCACAAATATATACTGTTTAATTTTTCCTGTCATATCATGACAGATATATATATGCAAGTACATGCGTGGGCATCTGTACATGTTGGAGGTGTTTTTTATCATTCTGAACTCTTACACACTGACATTTTTATTTATTTTTTCCTTTACAGCCACTACCCAAATGCTGAAGTGGTGAATTTTGGAACCTGGTTTTTGTTCAGTTTCCCAATATCCCTCATCATGTTGGTCCTTACTTGGTTCTGGATGCATTGGCTGTTCTTGGGTTGCAAGTGAGTTCAAGTTGTTCAAAAAGTATGGATTCCAAAAGCAGGGTGTCTTTGACTTTATTAGAATGGGTCTTATTAAAGCACTTCTAGTTGTAAATGACAAAAGCTAATGTATAATTTCTTTTTTCTTAGCAGAACAATTACTGGAAGAAGTCATATTTCTTAGCAGCACTGGATAGGCAGCAGTGTATAGCATTGCTGCTTGAGAGTAAAGGTGATGGTGATAGAAATTGTTACTATGCAGTCAGCTGTGTTGTGGTTGTTTCTTATTTGTCTGTTTTGTCTTGATTTGTTTTGTTTTGGTTTTGACTTATAACTGTGTCTTGTGGAGTAAAAATATCCAAAATGTATTTTGGAAAAATACAACTGAAAAGATGAAAGAAAAACAAAACAAAACAAAGCAAGAAACACATGAAATGGAACAAGTTACTTTTCAGATCTGCCCCCAGCTCAATGAAGTTAATGTAAGACAAGTTAAAATTAAAGGTAAACTGTCTCCATTTATATTTGTCTTTAATGTGGAAAGGACTCAGACTAAGAGGTGAATATCCTCTGATACCAGCTAGTCCCTGAGCCCCCAGATAAGAACAAGGCTCAGTCTCCAAGTTCATTTGTACCACGTCTTCTCTTTGCAGCGGTACTCAGCAAAGTTAATGAAAATTGACTAAGTATGTGCATTTAGAGTGGATTAGTTAATTTGCTTTAAATTGTTGTGCAGACACATTTACTCAGAATTAAAGCGGCCTTAATTTGATTTTGTTTACTCTTAAAAGTAAGATGAACTGACATCACAAATTTCTTCCATGAAAGACAACCAAAAATATGATAATGAATTCCGCTTGCTGTTGACCTTGACTAGATTTGAAGAGGTAATTTAGAGGTGAATAGCTCTGCTCCATGTCCTTCTCTCAGTCATTGAGCCTTGTAGTTCCAAATTAAAAGGCTAACATTTTTTATTTTTTTTTTAAGCTTGAGAGGAAACAAGCCCTAACACTACCCTCAAAAACATTCTTTTTTTTTTAATAAAAGTCACTGAAATTCCACATTGCATCCAAGACCTCATGCTGATTAATGTTTTTGTAGATAATACGAGAGACTGAAGCATTATTGACTTCTTGAGAAGTGCTGTTTGATTCCAAGCCTCTTAAATCTCTGTTTATTGCAGTTCATTAAAGAATATATTATGTTAAGAGCTTGATTACAATACTTTGCCTTCACATCCTCCTAAGCCTAGCAACACTCACAACATGTTGAAACAGCTGTTAATGTCTGTGCATAAATGTTTATCAGACTCCCATGATGTATGTGTTGCATGTTCTTTTCCTAGGAAGCCCAGTATCACTAGGCTATGACTTGGCCTAATTGGAACAACATCTCAGACTTGGATTGTAGGTTTTTGACTAATTCAAAGGGGATGAAGAATAGACCCACCAAACAATTTTTGCCAGAAAAGCAGAGCTAATAATTGTCGCTATAGAACTGAACATTAAAAAGACCTTCATACTTCCAGCAGATTCATTACTGCTGGTGGATTTAATGGAGTTTAAAAACAAGTTCGCAAGGAAATTTAAATGCTTGTATTTGTAGAACTGTACTAAAGGTGCTTAAAACAAGTGTCATATAGGTGTTTGATTGCAAGGGACATGAAAAAAAAATGTTAAAGAATTTTTATTCTTTTTTTTAACCAGACGTGTATTATTTGTATCTTTAGGTATGCAAATTCCTTTGATAATTTGACCTTAACTCTTGAGGGAGATATTAGTACACAGTTTGGCCAGTGCAGTAGCACAGATCTCTTGTGGGGCAATAAATGACACATTAAAATTGCAGGAACTTTAAAACCAGGCCATTATGCTCTTAATGTACTTATGTTACTAACGTACTAACATTCCAGCTTCTGAAAAAACCTATCTTAGACTGGCTTAGTTGCAGAAGTTTCTTAACCCCCTCCATAAGCCCCTGTCTGACAGATAGTACAGCTGGAGTAGAAAAACAGAGAACTTTGGCTCAAAGCACAGCAAAGTGACACTACTGGAAAGAATAAAAGAAAAAAATGTTTAAATGAGCTTGCAAGTGTATTCATTTCAATTAGGAAAGTCTAGTCTTACAGCATGAAGGCAAGCTGCATAAACTAAGGGCTTAACCCAATCTGCATATGAATGTGTGGCAGGTTTAAATGTGTTCAGATGTGAAATGTGCTTGTGCTTGCATTTACCTGGCGGAAGTACAGACATTTTTCAACAGGACAAAATGCTGTTGCCTTTTTGAGGTGACGTAGTCCTACGCTAATTGTGCCTGGTTCAGAAACGGCTAGGAAGAGTAGAGGCAGACAAGCTCTGAAAGCTATTTGGATCTCCAGCACAGCTTTCACCATTACTCATAGTGAAAACCTAAATATTCAAGTCAAACTTTGGCTTAAAAGCCAGACTAAAATCCAAGTGTTTTGACCATACTTGATCCTACTGGGAAGCAAACATTTCCTTCACTCATAAAAACTAGCCATAAACTTTGGAGATTTCAGGCACAACAAAAATCTAGCCACCACCAGCTGTTTGAGGAAGCCTACAGGAAGGGTGTCCAACCACAGTTTGGAGATGTTCAGCAATACCAGTCAGCATTAGACAAGGCATCATGGGGACCTTCATACCATAACCAGGATTGCGTCTCAGAAAACACAGAACTAGACCATGAAAAGGTGACAAGCAATAATTTCTGCTTCCCTTGCCATCAGGTCTTGTCCCAGTCATATCTTCTCCCAAGAAGAATGAAAAGTGGAATTTTCAGCTTGCCACTGTGTTGTTATTTTTTACAACTCTTTATTTCACTTGACACCTTTGTCTAATTTTACTGTGCTATCTACCCTAGTTTTAAGGAGACCTGTTCTGTGAGCAAGAAGAAGAAGACCAAACGGGAAGAAATGTCAGAGAAAAGGATTCAGGAAGAATATAAGAAATTGGGAAATGTTAGGTAAAACAGACCTGATTTACTCAGGAATTTGCTTGTCCAGGCAGGACCATCCACAAAAAATATTTGTACAGATTTACTTTGTCAATTGCTCTTATGCTTATTACACTTTTAAAAAAATGCAATACAAAGTCTTTACAGTAGAATGGTAAAATTAACTTTAACTCATTACCATATGTTTCATTGGAAACCAGTGCAAATACATAACAAACATTTATAAATATGTTCCTTTAGAAATTCCCTATGAATAATTGAATTGAAAATATAGACAATTATATTTTTAGTTCATTTTTACTAGGTTTAGTTGGTTCACAGATGAGAGCAAAATATAGAATTATTTAATTCAGTTTAATCTTCCTTTCTGTTCTCCTTATGGTTCATACCTCTTTTGTGTGAAGCATTTATAATTGCTTAATTCTTTTGGAATCTGCTCTTGAATTTTCAGGCAGACCTTGGATTTGACTCCTATTGTTATTTGTTTGTTTATTTTTGTTTCTAGCTATCCTGAGATGGTGACTGGGTTTTTATTCATTCTAATGACATTGCTTTGGTTTACTCGTGAACCTGGCTTTGTACCAGGCTGGTCATCTTTCTTTGAAAAGTAAGTGAAGTTCCCTATGTAAATGCAGAAGAGTACAGCCCAGCAGCTTCTGGCTCTGCCATAAATTTTGGCTACACAATGTCATTAGCCAATTTTAACAAGGTGGCAAAAAATGAAGTTTTTATTCAAATTTAGCATTTTTGTCTTTTAAACTACATCTCTTCACACAGCAGCAAACTGTGTTCTTTCTGAGTAAGGAAAAAGGAATTAACTATATGAAATAAACATATTCCATATGTAATAAATAGGAAAGTCACATACTGAAGTGAAAACTTTTTAGTACATTCAAAGAGAAGCTATCTCTGAAATGTATTGATGTTATATTTCAAATTAAAACTTTGGGGTGCTTTTTTCTTTTTTCTATTTTATTTTGAAAGATTTTTTTTGGTCAAAATATTATAATTTGTGGAGATAAAGTTTATCAAGAAAATATTTCAATTAAATATTAGAAGATTGAAACAATTGATTTTATTTTAAATAATATTGAAAAGATTTCTATTTAAAGTAACTTTAATAAACAATACACAGCAAAGACTACATGAAGTTAAATTTGTTTCAGTTTCTGTTGTATAAAATTATTTTAATTTATAATCCTAATTTTGACTGAAGAACAGTTTTTACTGTTAGGATTTCCTGAGGATCTTTGTAGTTTGACATACCTTGAAGTACTTTTCATGCTGAGTTTTAATGGTTTAATTAGAAATCAATATCGAGTTCATTTCTAGAGGACCATTTGAGCTTGGCTTTTCCTGAGAATGTGTTTACTATTTATTCCTTCTAGTAAACAAATTATTTTACTGTACCTCTGAGTTAACAGATTTGTAAACCAAAAAGGATCTCTTTTTATCACTAGAATGTTAAAAAATAAAATAAAATAAAATAAAATAAAATAAAATAAAATAAAATAAAATAAAATAAAATAAATAAATAAAATAAAATAAAATAAAATAAAATAAAATAAAATAAAATAAAATAAAATAAAATAAAATAAAAGGAAAATAATTACAGTTAGCTACTGAAGACAATTTTCTATATTGAATAAAATTTTGTTAAAAATTTGTTTGTATCCTTGATGTGCAGACATTTTTTTAGAAGGCTGTTGCTAAGACTTTAGATGTGGAAATAAAACTTCACCTGTAACTCCTTGAGTGGAGGTTTGGACCAGATGACCTCCAGCAGTCCCTTCCAGCCTTAAGCATGCTGGGTTTCTGGGATTCTATAACTGTTACGTACCTATTTGAAGAAAGCTTCTGTAAGTTTTTATGCTAACTCCACCACTTCTTTCTTAGGAAAGGCTACCGGACTGATGCCACTGTCTCTGTTTTTCTTGGTTTCCTTCTTTTCCTCATTCCAGCAAAAAAGCCATGTTTTGGAAAAAGAGAAAAAGGTAAGGCAAGAGTGAGCCCTGGCACATTTTCTTTTAATAATATTTTTCTGGTCTCTGTAAAATGTTCGAAGAACACATTTTGTTTCTCAAGTGGATATTTTTTTCCTTGATAGCATCCTTTCCTATTTCAAACTCCATTTTTGTCCTCTGCTAACAGATAATCCTCCTTACAAACAGGTAATCTAACCAGGTAGATTACTAACAGGCCACAGATACAGTCTCAGTCTTGTAATGATGGCCACCATCTCTTCTGTATTTACACAGTTTTGAAAATTTATGACTGAGCTTTAGGATAGGTTGAAATGTAGCTCCATATTGAGAATGATAAAGCAGAGATTTGCAAAGTTGGGTGAAGTAAATAAATGCTCTAGTAAATAATTTGGTCATTCCTTGTATGTAAGAAGTCGTTGATAATTTCATGAAGTAGATGTAAAAAAGGTAAGTAAATATGTGACAGTTGTAATTTTTGGTAATGCTCCTTTTGCAATCTTCCTAATAATAATAATGATCGACATTTCATGTTCATTTTTGGATAGCACTCAGAAGTATTGATCAGTTTGCAGTGCCAGACTTTCATCAATAATGTATGGAAACAGAACTCCCTGCACAGTCTTATGTAGAGATTACAAAATTACAAGTGTATACAGATGTGTGTTTGTTGTTGGTTGGTTGGTTGGTTGGTTTGTTTTGTTTTATACTGAAATGCATGCAACAATCAGGAAAAATAACACCCTCTAGCTTCTACTTCAATAAATTATTCAGAGACATAAATGCATTTTATTAAGCTTCATGACTTACTGGAGAGAGAAAACGTCCTTTAACAAAATAAACACATTTTTACTTCATCTTTGTAATCTACAGATAATTTTCACAGGTATATACACAGCAGACATTCCCTCAAGAAGCTGTAGCATAAAGCACAGGGTTTTGTAACCATTGACATCAAGAGAGCAGCCAAGGGGAAGTCAGGGTATTGGGAATCAATATGCTGCATTTTCTGAGGCTGAGCTATCCAGAGAATTAAGCTATACTTTTCTTCTTCATCTCTCTCACAGACAGGTCTCAAGATAACTTCCATGGTTATTGCATTATTACTACTATCATAAAATGTGAAGATCTTTGTATAAATGCCAATGTAACATTGATCACACACTTGTTTTCGTATAGGAGACAGTGAAAGGTCAACAGATATTAACGCGCTGGATCCCATCATTACCTGGAAGGACTTCCAGAAGACCATGCCCTGGGAAATTGTAGTGTTGGTTGGAGGTGGTTATGCCTTAGCAGCTGGATGCAAGGTATGGATTTAGATTATATTCCCCTTCCTAAAAGGAATAAATAAATAAATAATGCAAACTTGGCATTTTATCCTTTTGTATGCTCCTCAGATTGGAATTATAAAGCAGATACTTTCAAGTTTGTACACAAGCTAGCCCCTACTCCCTAAACTCAATGGAAAGATACCTAGCTAACAAAAGAATGAGTAGGGCTCAAATCAGTTGTGTAAGCATAGGCACCTACTACCATTTCAGATGCTCTAGTAGAGCTAGATATTTCTACAATGCTGGTAGAAATGACACAGGATCTGAGGGAAACCTCACCCTTTCTCAACTAGTAGCTAGCTAGCTGTGGGAAGAACATCTCAGTTGCCACTGGTTGCTCGTATTTAGGCAACTGAGTCAAACACCCAGCATTGATAAAACAAATCATGCTCTAGGCTATACTGACTGTACTGCCACTCAATACAATTTGTGAATATACACTTAGTTCTCCTACAGACACCTATCTGTAGGCAAATAAATTTGTGTATGAGTATGAAATCCTAGACTATGAAATCCTTCATCACTAATTTGCAGTACTTCAGTCTGCATGCTGAAGAAAGAGGAAAGATCAGCCTTGGTGCCAATTCATGTTATTAATTTTTTGATACTATAAAATAATTGTTTAGTAGGTACTACAGTGAAATCCAGTTTTCCAAACAAAAGGTAATGGAGAAAGCATTGATCTAAACACTACAGTGAAATCCAGTTTACTAAACAAACGGTAATGGAGAAAGCATTGATCTAAACTTTGTTTATTTGCTGGTGGCATTCTCTGATGCAAACTGCCCCAAAGAGAACAAACTGGTTAACAAACATCCCATGTACTTAGTCATTCTTGTGCTTCTGTCCTTTCCTCAGACCTCTGGCCTCTCTACTTGGATTGGACGCCAAATGCTTTCCTTGAGCAGCCTTCCCTACTGGGCTGTAACTCTGCTGGCCTGCATTTTGGTGTCCCTTGTTACAGAGTTTGTTAGTAACCCAGCAACTATAACCATATTTCTGCCTATTTTATGCAGCATGGTGAGTAAAAACTATGGCATTTTTAGTTTGTTGTTTTCTCATAGGCCCATGGGAATGTTTCAGGATGGCAGAGTATTGGCATTTGGATGTCATGAAACCCTGCCTTGGTTCCCAAACTACTGGTCTGCAGTCTTATGTTTAGAAGGCTTTAACTCAGCCTGGCAAAAAATACTGATATGCAATTTTAGCACTGATAAATTTAATTGAGACTTCTAGGACAACGCAAAAGCATAGCTCCTGCCCTGAAGAATAGATAGTTTAAATAAAAGGAAAGGTGATCATGCAACCAAGATAGTTGGTGAAGTCTGCATGAAGCTTATCAATGTTATTTTAAATGTGTTGTTCATTAATTAGTGGTCACCCACTCATTACTTCTAAGAAAAGACTGTATTAATGAATTCAGTATCAGATTAAAATATGTTCAAGGGTGTGATCTGGTAAGTGTGCTATCATCCAACATGGAAAGCAGAGATTTTTGTAAGGAATAGTTAAAAAATTGTACACTGGTTACAAAGGCAGAAAAAAGAAATGCAAATCTCTTTCCATATTAGAACATCAGTTACAGAAACGTACCTCGTTTCTTCTTTTTTATGTAATGTGAATCTTTCCTTACCAAGAATGCAGACCATGAATCTTGTTTCCCTATTATAGCAATTTTATGAGATTGTACCAAAGAACGTTATGTGAACAGCTCTGAGGTAATATGAAAATATGGTCAGATGAAAATAAGTAATTATGTTAGAATGGCTTATGAGTTCAAATTTAACTCTGCGCTACACATAAAGAGACTCTCCTAAAGAGAAATTTAGTGTGGTAATCTACTTTCGTAGCATGAATACCCATTTTTAGACAGTATTTCTTTTTTGACTGTGAAAGTAACTTGGAGACACTTCTGTCTTCAGTTAGCCTTCACTCTCCAGTTAGCCTTTCCTTTCCTTCCCCCATGTAACTATGTATTGTGTTGCTAAAACAACACAAATTAAAATACAAAATTTCACCCCCACTGAAGGCTGTAGTGGAAGAAAAATTATTTAGACCACTTTAAAATAAAATAAAATAAAATAAAATAAAATAAAATAAAATAAAATAAAATAAAATAAAATAAAATAAAAAAATATTCCACCACTATGGCCCCCTCACAATGTAAATTTGGACCACAAGCAACAAGCTTTCTTAAATGCCACTTGGGAAAGCTTTACAGAATTGTTTCATCAACTTCAGCAGCTGTAATAAGGAAATGCTTCATTTCAACCTGTTATGATCTCTCTTGGATGAAGGCTGAAGCACCTCCCGGTGACAGATCCAGAACACACAGCACAGAATGACAGGGAAAAAAGCAAAAGACTGAGGAATGCCTAATAATAGCAATCTTCACCCATGCCTAGTGTGAAATAGCTCAGCAGAAATCCCTGAAGGGTGACCAGCTCCAAATTAAACCATTATCCCACTTTAAAGAACAACCAAACAAAAAAATACTTGCACACTTAGGTTTAGAAATGAGGGAGCTGAGATTCATAAACTTATTATCTTCACATAAAGCAAAGACAGTTTTTTTCATCTTAATTATCAGCACCAGCTTTTACTGGTTAAGTAAAATTTCTCTTTCCTCCCCTCTCCTTCCAGTCAGAAACCCTTCTCATCAATCCTTTATACACTCTGATTCCTGTCACCATATGTATCTCATTTGCGGTGATGCTGCCGGTGGGTAATCCTCCAAATGCCATCGTCTTCAGTTATGGGCACTGCCAGATTAAAGACATGGTGAGTCTTGAGATCAGGTATACCCTCCAGTGCTTCATACAACCCTGACACCTTGTCCCCACATCCAGCAGCCAGTAATAATGGTGATGATATTAGTGTTAATGTAAAGTCATGCTGATTGGCACTGCTATTATGACAGAACTGCCAAGTTAAGAACATCTACATATCTACTGTAGAATATGCACATTTCTCATCTTTATTTTTATGAATATAATGGTCAAACAGGTATAAAAGAATAGAAGTACACAATACTTTGTGTTGATCTGTTAGGACAACACTATGGCAGTTGCAGAAGAAACAGACACAGTGCTTGGGGAAGTGAGGAGAGCACAAGGAATCAGATTTGTCACGTAGCTCCACACTAAAACAAGCACTTATCCTCTTTCTGTGTGTAGTATAAAACCCCATTCTCATTATGTGATTGAGAAGTTCAAGTGACAAATTAGTTTTCCAATGAGGTGCATCAGCCTCTGACCATCAGCATCTACCACTCCTGAATTCTCTCATGATATACACTCTGATACATAATAGTTGTGCTTTTTTGTCACCTTGGAAATCAGTATACATATATTATCATATATATTATCATACATATAAACAAGTACACATACATTTACAAATATATTCCATCAAAGATAGAGTTCTGCACCATGCATGCACCCTGTCGCCTTCCTTTTTTTTTTCCATGTTAACTGTTTTTGATCAAGTCATCACTGATCATGCTCTAATGGTTTTTTTGTTTGTTTGTTTGTTTGTTTGTTTGTTTGTTTTTACATAGGTTAAAGCTGGTCTGGGTGTAAATCTCATTGGTCTGGCTGTTGTCATGGTGGCAATCAACACGTGGGGAATTAGACTCTTCCAGCTGCATACTTTTCCGGAATGGGCAGCAGTAAGCAACATCACTAGCCAAATCTAGCCTTAAAAACAAAACAAAGCAAAACAAATTCAAATTAAAAATAAAATAAATAAATAAATAAATAAATAAAAGTGCAAGACCAAAGTGAGTAAGGACAAAATAGTAAATCTAAATACATATGAAAGAAAAGAGAAAATTTGAGCATACACAAAACCAAGAACACGGGGAAAAATATGAAGAAAATTAACAAGAAGGTCCTCTGCATAAAAAAAATAATAATAAAAAAATAAAAAAGTCTCCTCCAAATTCTCTGCCAATAGATTTTTCATGGTCTAGAACAATTATGTATGATCTATAAAACAGTGGATATTGGACTTCAATGAGAGAAGACAAGTATGCATATACTTGTGTACTCAGTAGTTAGATATTCAATTTCATTGTTGACTGCTACAATGAATAAATCCATTGTAAATGTTGAGCCTTCTTCCCAAAGCCAGAGTTTTCTAAGCCTACTTCTTCTGAAGGCAAATTATTATTCTTTTGAAGTAAGTCATCACTGTGTTGGAAAAAAAAAAAAAAAAAAAAGTTTATCAGTGAATCCATATGGCCTGGAAATATATACAGCTACCTACTATCTGCTACAGCATTTCAAAGGGATAATAAGAAATGACAAAACAGATAAGAAGACTCTTAGAAAGGAGAATTGTTGGTTTTTTTTGGTGGTGGTGGTTTGTTGTTGTTATTGCTTTTTTTTTTTTTTTTTTGGTTTTTATCACACAGCGTTAGTATAAAGTTTCCAGTATTGCAGCACTTGCAATCCCTGATAGAAAGTTTTGGTCAATATCTTCTTTCCTTATTACTGTGCTGCAGTGGAAGCTTTCTCAGTAAAGGGAGCCATGACTAGCAAAACATTGCTTGGTCTACAGGCCCGTTGCAGTCCTCTCTTCTGGCTCTGATTAGGTGGTTAAGGATTTATGATTTTCCTGACAGAGAAAGTACCATCTCTTCTAACATAGCCCTCAGTGCTACTCCATGAGTAAGAAGGGAGAGGGCTGAAGTGGAGTTGCACTGGCATATCTCATCATCGTATGTATTCACTTGAACATCACACCCGCCTGCTCTCTAGCAGCCCAGAGAACAGGAACTTGAAATGTGGGAAACTGTCACATAGAGCAGATAATTAGCAGACCAAAAAGGCCAATCTCTTTATCGTATGCAAAGCGAATGCCCTTGCTGACTGGATACCTGTGATACATCATAAACCTTCTTTTGCATTATGTGCTGCTTTTAATCATTTCTTTAATGTCAATGACTTTAAGCTGTGTATTAAGATGATTGGATTTCATGTAATCACATTCTTCATATACATATTTTAACACATTTTTATGCTTTCCATTTATAATCTAGGCTCTCTAGACGTTAGTGTGAATGACTACAGAGCATAAATGAGATGTCAATAAAAGAAATTATTCACTACTGCATATTTCTGTACTCTGTGAGAATATAAATAAGACACATTTCACCTCATAATCCACAAAGCCCTTAGGAAAGCACTGCTGAGACAGCAGGAGCTGTTGCTTTATGACTTCTGTCAAAACAGAGGGATCCCACAGTCTTGTCTTGTAAATAAACAGATGCAGTAAGAGGCTACAGGTCAGCAGAGGGGGAACAAAACTGGAAAATCACAAAATCACTTCTTAACTCCTTGTACCAAAAGCAGGAGACAACATCCTCTAACAAAACAATTTCTATTCATAGTACATCCTGTAAACTCGGTTTTGAAAAACAAAGTGTTTCTGTAAATCCATGGCTTGGTACATCCCCATGCCATCCTAATCCAAGAAAGAAAACCCTTCTCACCTCCCTGATTCCTGTATTCCTCCACCCTGAGCCTGCATCTCTGCTGCACCCCAACACATGCAATCCATGCCTGACTCAGGGACACAGATCCTCCCCATCCAAAGGGCCTGTCCTCATGCACAACCAGCAGGACATCGCTTTGTTCACAGTCCCCAAAGTTACTTTCAGCCATTCTCCCCCTTACAACAAACTTTTCTCTGGCTTGTTTCCTTCCCAAAGCTTTAGTTGCTTTGCACTCATATTCTAATCCTTTTCAATTCACGCTCCATCCACCACCGTCCTCAAATTCCCTAGCTGTCTGGCTACAAATCACTCTCCACTGCTTAATACTTATTTCTTGGCTCGGCTCTGCTCCCGTCAGGCCTTGCTATCCCACACAATTCCCAGGGGATATGAACATGGGGTATTTATATTTTGCAAGAGAGGAAAGCAGCTGGTGTGCCAATCAGCTTTAGGGAGATGTAGGCTTATTCACAAATCAAATAGGGTAGCTGCCAGTAATCACACCAATAGCACTAGGTCAAAGAATATTGCTTGAAGCTGTGTTGCACACCTAAAGCAATATTTCATTTCTTCAGAAACATTTCCATGAGCCTCTGGCATAGTTTGTGTCTCACAGGACTGATGTAGAGACATTTGGAGTGAACTCTGGCAGGGAGTTTCCCCAGCAGCCTTCCCTCTTGTATCAGTACTCTCAGAACATTTTGATGTCCACAGCTTCTGGCACTTGTCACTGCCACATCCCACCAGGAAGGCAATGTGCTGCACTGTCACTTTTTTCATACCAGATCAGTCAGTGCATGCAGCACAGCCAGATTCTGCCCTTAAATGTACATTTCTGATTCCCTTCATTTCACTTAAGACACAAGAAAGTACATGAGAATGTATTTAGTGGCAGAAACTGGATCTCAAAGTGGAAAACAGAAAACAGTAGCAGATGAATAGCAGAGTACTACAGATATAGCAGATGAGTAGCAGATGAGTAGCAGAATACTACAAGATATAGCAGATGAGTAGCAGAATACTACAAGCTTAGGGTTGAGCAAACTGCACAGCTCATATGGTGACAGTGATGGGTGCCAATTGCTTCTTTTTCTATTTTGAAATGAGGATAAATGGCAAGTGAACAAAACAAAACAAAACAAACAAAAAGGAACCTTTAACTGGCATTTTAAAATGTACTGTCACTGAACTTCTGATTTGTCAGAACCAATAACCAAAGCCAAAGTATTTGCTTCGAGGGGAAATAAGCCTGATTTCAAATAAAGTGATTTCCAGAAGCTTTGAACATTCATCACATTCATCAGGCCATAAAAATGGAAGTTCTGATTTCAGCCCAGAATTTAAGATTTCTGTCCAAAAGGTATAATCACTTTAACTAGTAGCAGGATACTATTTCATCTGACAATTTTATATTACCTTTTACTAGAATTTTATTAAGACTATCTATTTTTTCCTGTGATATAAAACCTGAACAATTTCACTGAAGTAAACTGAGGTGATTTATACTGAGCAATTCTTTATCCTGTAGCTGATAGAGTAATGCTTTATTTCTTAACAGCAGAGCATAATAGTAATACTTTTGCAGTGGTTGTTCAATTCTCTCTTGCTTGTAGAAAAATCTGAATAACAGAATTTAAAACAGGCCCTCATATACTTTTTTTTTTTTTCATATACTGATCTTGCTGCTTGGGTTCCACCTTTGAACCCAAAGGTGCAGGTTACAGAGAAGGGTGATGAAATCAATGTGATGAAAGATTGTAGAATCTCTGTTTTCACATAGAAAACCAACAGTATGTTCAACTCCAGCACTTGGGCTCACAGGAGATGCTATCAGGCAGCCTGGGGAAAGGTTAGGCTAGAAGAATGAACTTCTCTGTGTTTTTGAGGCAGTCTGCAGAGATGAGATCTGTGCAGTGTCTTTGTCTTAAAAAATTCAGCCTAATTAATCTTTTTTATTATTGACAAGAATCAACTCCACATTAGAAGATTGCCAATGCTCTAGTAATCCAGTTAAAGAAAATAAAATAAAGACAAATATATAATCTTAGTCAGGGAAAGGTTAGAAAAGTTTACAAATATATTTATGCTTTGAGTCAGTGATTTACAGAAGTGAGAGGTTTAGGTGTCATGCAGATGTATTAAAAACTACAGTCAGAACTGAGTTTGGTGGGAGCAGCTATTCTGAAGTCAATTTATGAAATTTGTTTTATTTTTCAAGATAGTAATCTTGGCTCTCTGTGATTAATGTGTGTTCCAGGTGAAAAAGCAAATAATATCCTCAGCTATTTTATCTCAGTACAAATTCAATAAAAATGACCTTGGCTTGGGATTTGTAAAGCAAAGGTTAGCGTATACCACTGAGAAGTGTAACAAATAGAGTAAGCATTTTTTCTTGTTCATCTGAGGCAAAAATAGACCTGTAAGGGAACTTTCTTTATGTAACTTAGCAGTAGCATCTACATTGTAATGTGCACTGTTACCTCTTAATATTCAAAGTAATTCTACTAGACATAATGGAGATTATTAATTTTTACATACAAATATCAATTCAATGTAATTTCTGTATTTCTACAGTCATTTCTATTTCTATAAATACAGCCTATACATCTAGGCTTATAAAATCAACTCCTTGTTAATTTTGAAATACCGATTTCTTCCTTTGCAACACTTTAACCACAATAGCAATCTACAGGCAGTCTGTGCTTAGGGTCAACAGTAGTCCAGGCCATTCAAAGCATATTTCCAGGTGCTCAGCACGTATAGTATATAGTATCGCTCCAAGAGAGAACACACAGAGAAGTCATAACAGCTGTTGGTGCACACAACTGCCAGCAACAGCAACAAAGGACAAAGGAGAACCACAGTGGAAATATTCTGTCTTCACAAAGGCAATACGTTTATTGAGTCCCACCACAATTCCCTGCAGAATCACCACTGAGAAACGTCTGCTGCTGTCAGATCAGTGCTACATTCCTTTACTCTAAATAGTTAGCTCTATTAAGGTGGTTCATGAACTAGATATGCACTCACAAGCAAAAATGAAAGCTGTCTTATAAGAAATATTGTGAACAATATGCTACATTAGCAGGAGTCATGTATCCTTACATGAACTCACAATAAAAGTTTCTGATGTAGATGATGCTAACTAATGTAAAAACACAAAGGGTTGTCTTCATTATTTTTTTCCTTGTCCTTGAGTAATTCCTGTGTAGTATAACCCAATTTTACACAAGTAGGCTGGAGATACTAGTAATTTAAGTAACTCAGATGGGGTTCAGAAAGCCAGTGCCAGGGCCCTGAGTGCACCAAAGAGCCTTTACAGCCCTCGGCAGCCTCTTCTGGGACTCCTACCCACAACTCCCTCCCTTGGGCCCACAAGCCCCACTCGAGCACAGACCTGGAGATTCAGCTTCCAGTCTGCCTCCTCACTTGATCCCTGGAAGGAGGTTGGGCCTATGCTGTAGCCATGTCTACAATCATCTGTTGTGGGAGGCTATTACTAGAGAGAGCTTTTGAGAACCGTATTCTGGGGTGCATCAAGCACGGCATTGCTAGTTGGTCAAGGGAAGTGATTGTCTTGCTCTACTCTGTGCTGCTGCAGCCTCACCTCAAGTACTGTGTGCAGTTCTGGACACCACAGTACAAAAAGGATGTGAAACTATTAGAGAGTGTCCAGAGAAGGGCTAAGATGGTGAAGGGCCTAGAGAGGAAGAAATATAAGGAGCAGTTGAGGTCACTTGGCCTGTTCAGCCTGGAAAAGAGGAGGCTGAGGTGAGACCTCATCATAGTCTACAGCTTCCTCACAAGGGGGAGTGGTGGGGCAGGTGCTGATCTAGCCTCTTTTAGTGATAGGACCCGAGGAAATGGTTCAAGCTGAGACAGGGGAGGTTCAGGATGGATATCAGGAAGAGGTTCTTCACTAAGACGGTTGTCGTGCACTGGAACAGGCTTTCCAGGGACATGGTCACGGCACCAAGCCTGTCAGAGTTTAAGAAGCGTTTGGACTGTGCACTTAGTCACGTGGTCTGAATTTTTGAGTAGACCTTTGTGGTGCCAGGAGTTGGACTCGATGATCCCTATGGGTCCCTTCCAATTTGGGGTATTCTATGATTCTGTGAAAGTAAGAAGAAAACGACCTGAGGGTCCTGGCAGCCCAGCTGAAAACCTGCCAGCAATATGCCCTTGTGGCAAGGAAGGTCAATAGCACTCTCAGCTGCATTAGGCAGACCACCCTCCGGAGGCTGAAGGAAGAGTTGAGTTTAGTTCAGCCGCCACCGGGTGGCGCAGGGGAGAAGATGGCGGCTCTCCCACCAGTGGGCCAGCTTCCCCTATGGTCAGGACAGAGCCTCAGGGAAAATCCTGAGGGAAAAGCTTGGATATGTGGGGGAAAAAAAGGCATGTCGAGAGATTGTGGTTGGGTTTGTGCACCGCTGGTGCTTCTCTCTGGAGGGTTTGTGTGAATGTGTTTGTGTACATACAGACCCGCAGGTGCGGGTCACATTTGGTCCATGGGCCTGTCCATAGGAGAAATGACCACCACACCACATTCATATTGCCCAGTGTGTAAGGTATCGATGGTGCTGGCCTGCTGTGGGGGAAGAAAATAGATGGAGTAAATAGGGCTGTAGGGCTGGTGCTTTGGGAATGACCCCTCAGACCTTTGCCCTCCACTTGTTCAGGACAGCAGCTATTTAGGAGCTGTTTCAGGTAGGCTATCTCTGTCATTCACGATACTGCACTCACTTTGATGTATGGGCTGCAAAAGCTGGTGTAAATCAGTAGGCTCTAGGGGATGAGTCCTCCTTGCTCTCTACAACTACCTGAAAGGAAGTTGTGGAGAGCTGGGGGTTGGCCTCTTCTCGCAGATAACTACTGATGAGACTAGAGGGAATGGCCTCAAGTTGTGCCAAGGGAGATTCAGGTTGGAAATTATGAGACATTTCTTCTCAGAAAGAGCAGTCAGGAAATGGAATGGTTTTCCCAGGGAGGTGGTAAAGTCACCATCCCTGGGGGTGTTTAAGGAAATGTTAATGCGTAGCAGCATGGTTTTAGTGGATGATATTGGTGGTAGGGGGGTGGTTGGACCAGATGATTTTGGAGGTCTTTTCCAACCTTAATGATTCTACAATTCTCTTGTTCTTAGCTTTGATGAGACACATCTAGACTGCTCTATCCAGTTCTGGGCTTCCCAGTACAAGGGGTACATAGGCATACTGGAGTGAGTCCTGCCCAAGGGCCATGAAAACCAAGAGACTGGAACATCCATCATGCAACAAGGCTCTGTGGTTCTGTGATATAAAATGGCACCACTGAGCATTCACAGAATCACAGAGCTCACTGCAGTGAAGTTCTGTGAGGTAAAATGCCAGAATTTCTCTCAAAAATCCACCTTCCTTATTTTAGCTCTTGGTGCACAGTAAGTTAATAATTAGCTTTATTATCTAGCATTTTGTATCTTTTCAGTGTTAATCTTTTACTATTTTCAAAGCATGATGCTCCACAAGAGCCTAGGACAACATTTTCCATCGCAAGATAAATCTCAATCCAAAGTAAATATTTTAGCAGTCTGTTAGTAGCTCATATGTTCCTTTTCCCTCCTTTTGCCTCAAATCTTCAACTCCTAGGACATGTTACAAAGCAAACAACACCAGAAAATGGATGCAACTGCATTTATCTAACAGTTTGTAGCAAAGAAAGGAAGATTGCATATTTTAGTTGGTGATTTCAGCTATCCACACAGACATTTTGAATGTGCAGAAATCCACAGCAACCATATTAAGTGGGAAACTCTCTCCTAGATGTCTAGAAGATGCATTCAACCTGTGTGACCTGCTAAGACAACACCAAAGTCCCCCTGAGCACTCACATGCAAGATCTGCATCAAGCACTATCCATGTGGACTTTCTGCCATCTGAAATATAACACAAGTTTAACCTTTGTTATCACCTAGGATAGCCTCAGGCTGAATCAGTAAAATGCATTATAGAGTAGTTGCAAAGTTGACAAGAACTGCATTGCACTATTATCTAAATTTCTTGCTTATTATATGGGACAGAAATGAGCTAAATTGGAAAGTGTTGCAAATTCTGTGAAATGCTTAAGAAGTCTTGTGTCTAGTATTAATTAACACATACTTGTCCTACAACACTACAGCTGTAGCTGGTTCAATTCATAATCTGATCGGAAAAGAATCCCAATGTATGCTTGGAATGCTCAGCTGAAAGTTTCAACTCCAACTTGCACTTTTAGAGTGACACAGGCCTGTCTGGCAGCAAATACACAGATTTTGAATATTCTTGCCCTTCCCATTTATGTGTAAAGAAAAGTAAGAACATAAAGCACGTTTGATGAAATAATTAGTTCAATATTACATGATAATATAGTTTTATATGACAATTAAAGAAACATGAGTAGGTTAGAGCCAGTATTTTTCAGCACTCTGCTCAAGAATGTGAAGTAAAGAAATATAAAATAATAAATAAATAAATAATATATATATATATATTAAAAAGTAGGGAAAACTAGGTTCATTGCATTCACGACAGCATTAAAACAGCTGTACAGTACTGTCTCAGTCTATGGAAAGTTAGCATGTGGAGGACAGGTCTTTCAGTCTGGTCTGAAGTCTGTGAAAGTTAATAAAAACCCCTTTCAAAGACAAAAGTACACTTCAGAAGTTGAATAATAGCTAAAAATGGCTGCACTTTGTTTTTGAACTTCCTTCACCAATCACGTTCTTAGCATGTTTAATACATACTGCTACCATGAAGTTTCTACTAACTTGTGCTAGGTGGTATGAAGTATTTCCCCCTTGAGTTGTTTGAGTGTTTACTATATAAAGAGTTGGTAGCATAGCTTCTAAAATTGTCTGACTTGAGGTGGCTTTTAAGTTTGCCAAATACCAATTTGCAAAGACCAAAAGCTTTTGTCAGATACACATTTCACGATGAAACAGAATGAAAAATTATAGTTGATATGTATCTTGGCTATATATATTCTCTAAAGAGAATCTTAAGATGATAAATACTTTTCTCAACGGTAGAACTGCATTATAGAAGGTCTCATCATCACCTTACTTTGGAAAATGAAGTGAAAGTTTGGTGTTTGGTATTTTGTAAACATTTTTGTGATTCTGTGAAAATTCATGAGCTTGGAATCCATGCATCTTTCCAAGTTAAAGGGTTTGGGGTAGGGGGGTGAAAATCACAATGGATTCAAGGGGAATCCTGTACTTAAAAGCTTGAAGGGTGTGTTTACCTTAAGCAGCACAGTGCCCTAAGTCTATAGAGCAAAACAGGTAGTGTCTTTAGTGGTGAAGTTCAAAAATTTGATGTTCTGCAAGACTGTCAAGGGGACTTAGTGATTTAAGTCACCTTACAATGTTGATAGGACTTTTCAACTTTACAGAAAAAAAAAAAAAAAAAAAGGAAATGATATTAATTCAACAATCTACCAAATAAAGCTCGAATCTACTTAAACTACTGCAATATTTTCTTAGGAATTTACAACAGAGTTTGTACAAAACCATACTTTCCAAATGCTGACTTTGATTTCCATTCAAACAGAAAAGGATAGTGGTGTAGTATGGTGTGTATTTTCTCATAGACCGGGGTTTTCAGTGGCAGAAAAAGGTGAAGAGAAACATACCAGACAGTAAGGGGCACAGTAGAAAAGTGGTTCTAATCCTATGAAAATACATTGTAGATAAACTGAGCCAAATGAAAAGCCAGTAGGCTGAAGACCATGCAGAGTGATAGGTAATACCAAATATATTTGATAGAAATAGAATCATAGAATATTCCAAGTTGGAATGAAACCACAAAGATCATCAAATCCATCTCCTGTCTCCATGCAGGAATAATTATGCAAATTGGTCCATTAAATACACAGTCAATGTTTTGGATTCAAACTGTTACTGTAACCAAATGTCTTAGTTACCACAAATGGAAGATAACTCTTTTCTATCCCATCCTACCCATCAGTACAGAGATATCCTCAGGCAACCAAGTCAAATGGAAAGAACAGGAAGAGACAACAATAGAAGAAACAATGAAACGTAGGTTAAATTAGACAACCTTTTATGCCTTCCGGAATCATCAGAGATAGCACAAATTTTACACTGGTAGAAGTGATCATTTAACATAACGGAAAAAGCAGAAACTTCTCCTTCCCCCCAAGTTCATAGCTTGATAAATTAACTTTATTGTTGCACCTCTCAGGAAGTTCCCATCTCAAATGGAATGCAGATCTTAAGAAGTACCCACAACAAATTACAAGAAACCCTGAAAGTTAATTCATGATGCATTTAATTTCTTTTGCGGTATTCTAAGACTTAGGGTATTACAAAGTATGAGGTATACATAATAATAGGACTAACACTATTCTCCAGTTGGATCAGGTAAAAATGTGCTATAAAATATTAGGAAAAGCAGTAACGAAAAGTACAAGTGATATTATCCAGTCATATTGTTGCAAATCCAAAATTCTGAAACCCTTGAAAATCAGTCCCACAAAAAAGTTCATGGTTGCTTTTTCAAAACAGGACATTCTGGCTCTAGGAGACTAAAAGCGGAGGAAGCTCCCATGCCAAACCTCTACTTGATCTTTGTTGCCTGAAAGGTAAATTGCATCCTTGACGCATGCACAGAGGTGACTTGGGTAACACCACTCCCTTAGGACTTGTCACTGGGAGGTTTCTTCTTAGCTTCCACATCCTTCTTAAAATCTTCAAGCTTCTTTGCAATGTTAGGAATCTTTAAAGACAAAAACAAGAAACAAATAACAACAACAACAAAAAATGAGTTACATGATGTCATGAACTTCAGCAGGTAAGACCATACCATAAACACAGAAATTCTAAAAAGTTTACACTGCTTTCTAATAGACGCTTGCTCCCAGGATCTGTTACTTTGCACAGATTTTGTTAAAAGCAAAGTAGCCTCAAGCAAACAGCAGAGGAAAGCACCTCACATGGGACTTTGGGAAATATTTTGGAATAGGCAGACTACTAAGAAAAAACATCAGCCACTGTTGATGGGAACAGGAGGGAGGAAAAGAAATCACTTCAGAAGAAATTCAGTAAGACCAGTCTGGCTTCCTCTGTGAAAGAGAATGAACTGCCAAAGAGTAAGTGATTCAATCACTGATGCACAGGCTTTAATAATGACTTTTAGAGGGAAAATTAGATTGTACTATACTGGTCCAAGAAAAAAAAAAAAAAAAAAAAGGAGAAAAGAGATGCTTAGTAACAGCCAATATGTTTTAAAATAATCTGTGAAGAGGTACCTCTCCTGGTCCATTTTGTGGGCACCAAAATTCCCCACTGGGGAAGTTTACTGCATTGCAAATTGTCAAGCTTTGCAGCTTCATACTTGAATGAAAATTCAATTTGCTGCTTTTGAAATTCAAAGCTTCAGCTTTCTTTTAAAAACAAAAGCATTTTTAAAAGGAATCTAACAGTATGTTTGGACAACTTGGGGGGCAAAAAAACGAACTTTTAAAGGAACTTTTAAAGGGGATGGAAACATTAACTTATGACTCCGACCTAAATTTGGAATCAACATAGGATTTTACAAGTGAACTAATTAAATGAAAGCAAACCAAAATTTTCACTGGTATTTATGAAGAAAATCATGGACTTTTACTTCAGTTGTACCCTGACCACAGTGAAGGATATTCAATCCAAACAGACTGCAGACCTCTGGTTGGATGGTTTGAGGATGATAGTACAGGAAATGTCAGAAGTTCCTCTCTTCCCTATTTTTCAAACTTAAGCTCCTTTTGAGAAAGCAAAATCAAAAGCCCAACCCTTAACAGGTCTGACATCTAAAATAAACCAAGAGAAGTACATTGTTATCAGCAGAACTCTCCATATGCTTATAATTACACACACACGCATATCATTGCAGAATTAGCATCTCATGACAACAAGTTCATCTTAGAGGTTATCTAAGAAAAATAATTCTTGATACCAGCAATAAAATTACCATTGCCAGTTACCAAATTACCAATTACCACTGCAAGTCAGCATTACATTATCAGGGAACCATTTCCTCCAAATCAAAAGCAGAAGTCCCCCTCTTGTGGCAACACATCATTAGTGCTTCCAGAAAAACACTATACTATGCTTACAATACGAAGTGATACACAATACGTTCTTTTGACTGCATTTTCCTAACTTTGTAAAAAATATTGAAAAGAAAAAGCTAGTATAGATTATAAAAGAAAGGGGGAAAAAAGTATGTTAAAATTCAATAACTCCTTTAGCCCGCAAGCAGTTAAGCGGAACTGGTCTTATAAGGGATTCTACTTACTCCGCAGAAACTGAAAGCTTGTATTGAAAACTTGGCTGTAAATCTTCTTTTCTAACTCTGAGAAAACTCTCAGACAAAGACAGAAAGACTGCAGATCAGTGTACTGTTTGAAATAGAAGCAGGTACTGAAATCTCCCAGACAGCTGGCTAGACTTTTTCTATTTCTCCTGCCTCTACCTATGTAGATGTCTGGTTACAATATCTGTGCTCTGGGTCCCCTGTATTAGTTAAGGCTCTACACATTACTTTCTCAAGACAAGTGAAATTCAGAAAGAATCTAGCTCTTTGTGGTTCCATCTAAATCTGAGTTTATCTGTAATTAAGGTTTGTATTTTTTGTATTTGTATTCTACTCAAATCCAATTTGTATTCTATTTGTATATCAATTTGTATTCTATTCAAATCCAATAAAACAACAAAATTAAGATGGATTCAATTTTGATTGAAGTAAAACATCCTTATATTTTCAATTCAGATTAAATTCAATTCTGAGAATGCAAGGATACTTACATCATAGTTCTGAGCCAGATACATCCCAACCACATTGCCAAGAGTAAAACCAAGCTGAAAAGGGAGAAAGAATTGTTAGCATCCTATCAAAAGCACATTGGTTGAGGAAAAAAAAAAAAAAGGTGAAAAGTAGAGTTTCAATTTTAGTTGTACTTTTGCACCCTTCTTCCAAAGGCAGACACAATTTTACCCAGTCACTTCTCTAGGAAAACCTTAACTGGGTTGTATTTTGGAAATAATGGTGTGTTTTAAATACAATTCTCCAAGACTGGATAAGGCTATAATCATCTTTGTAAAGTTATTTGCAAACCCATAAAGGCAGTAACTTGGGAAAGTACAACTACATAGCGGCAGGGACCCACATTCCTCAGAGGTCCTGGTCCACAACTGAAAAACCTACATCAATACCTCGGTAAAACAATACCTGACTAAAACTCAGCGCTGGGGAAGAATACACACACAGAATGATGCAACACGTTAATAATACAATAGCAACAAAAAGATTTGCAAGCTGGAATCGCACAACAGAGGCTCTGACAGCAAAAAGATCTCAGCCTCAAGTTAAAAGGTGTTCCCCCATCAACTTCAACTGATGCAAAACTGTACTGTCACTGATGGGCAGCTGGCTTCAGTTTGCTCCAGTGCAGTACTGCCGCTGCTTCTCTTCTGCAACCACCAGGCCCCTTGGACCTCAAAAGATAAGCTTTACGCCAAATCTACTCTGATCTAGGGGCTCCTCTAAGGCAGGAAGGCATTGTGCTGGAATGTGTGCAGGGCACAATCTCTTTTGACAACTGCAAACTCGTAGTTGCTTGAACGCCGTCTGTGAAACTGTACTCTGGAAGGAGAGCAAGAACAAAATGGAAGCACAGTTCTCATCTTGTTCCCGTGCTTGCCAGTCGAAGAAAAGCCTCAGGTGGACTGTGACATGTTGGATCAATGAGCAGAGGCCAATGGAATGAGGTTCAATATGGCTAAGTGATGTGTCCTGCACTTTGGCCACAACAACCCCATGCAGTACTACAGGCCTGGGGCAGAGCAGCTCAAAAGCTGTTCACAGGAACGGGATCTGGGGTTCTGGTCGATGCTTGCCTGAACATGAGCCATCAGTGTGCCCAGGTGGCCAAGAAGGCCATCGGCATCCTGGCTTGTATCAGCAATAGTGCAGCCAGCAGGACCAGGGAGGTGATCATCCCCCTGTACTCTGCTCTGGTGAGGCCACACCTTGAGTACTGTGTTCAGTTTTGGTACCTGCAGTACAGGAAAGACATTGAGGTTCTGGTATGTGTCCAGAGAAGAGCCACAAAGATGTTGAAGAGCCTGGAACACAAATCCTATGCAGAGGAGTGGCTGAGGGAACTGGAGGTGTTTAGTCTGGGGAAAAGCAGGCTCAGCAGAGACCTTATTGCTCTCTACAACTCCCTGAAAGGAAGGTGTGGGGAGCTGGGGGGCGGCCTCTTCTTGCAGATAACTAGTGATAGGACTACAGGGAACGGCCTCAAGTTGTGCCATGGGAGGTTTAGGTTGGAAATGAGGAGACATTTCTTCTCAGAAGGAGCAGTCAGGCATTGGAATGGGTTGCCCAGGGAGGTGGTAGAGTCACCATCCCTGAAGGTGTTTAAAAAAAACGCTGGATGTGGTGCTTCGGGACATGGTTTAGTGGGTAATGTTGGTGGTTGGGGGGCGGTTGGAGCAGATGATCTTGGAGGTCTTTACCAACCTTAATGATTCTATGATTCACTTTGCAAGGGAAAGAAATTCCTCTCTTCAAATGCAGATGATGAAATTTTCACTCAGCAGCTCTGAAAGGCTCTGGATATTTTTGTTACACGCCTTAATAAGGACACACTATACTATAAAAGTTCATTTGACTGTTTTAGAAGTAGAGACTACTAATACTGTGCCTCCATTCATTCTCAGCTGAGGCCAATTCTATTTAAGAAAATTATTATTACTCAGGCACTGCTGCCAAAATAAGACTATTTTAAGAAAATTAAAACCACTGTCCACAACAACTTTCCCATCACATCTGACTAGACATCTTTTCCAAGCCCAAAGTGGTATACAGTACAGCTCATCTTTTCAGTGACTCAGATTCCTTAAGTAGCACTGGTGAAAAGTTAGCTACAGAAAATTAAAATCAGTTGAAAGCTGCCCCATGAACCATGACTGCAATAACTTCAGTAATTTCTTCCATAGACTTTTGATCTTATTGTCTGTTTGTAATTACTTTTTAAGGATCGTAGTGTTTATAATTTACAAAGAAGCATAGTTCTTTTTGTGGGTGCTGCATTGGTTATAATTTGCTGTTGTAGTTTTAATTATCAGTTAAAGAATTATTCAGAGACATTAACAAATATTGCACTGAAGTAACCCAGTCTTGTGATTCCTCTTAATGTAGCGGGTCATTGTAATAGAAACAAGTTTCATCTGTCCCCAGCATACATATCTTCGGGAATTCACTGGAAAACACAAACTAGATCCTAGCAGGTTTCTAGACTTTTAACCTAGAATAGTTCCAAAATGGGACAACTATCTCTTGTTCTGCTATGTGATAAGCCTTATTTGGTACACATGGTACTGACATTAGTACACCTTTTAAGTATGCTCTTTTACTGAAAAGTCTAGCATTTCATTCTAGAGCAATCTACCCAGTTACATTTACTTTAATAGCTAACAATTCAAACAGTGGGAAAAAATCTCAGTATTTAGACTTCAAAAAATTTGGGCTGCAAAAAATAAAGGCAATTAAAGTTTGCGTATTAATTAAGGACAATAAAGCTTCTAAAAGTTCAGGGTCATCCAATTTCTACCCAGCATTTCGAGACATATTTTAGGCAAATGTCTGGTTAAGTTATGCTTAACTCTGGGTAACAAAAAAATAAGGTTGTCAAGATTATCCCTTTATCTCCCTGTTACAGCCCTAACAAGGGAGAGCAAAAGTCAAACACCCAATCTATACTCAAAGAAGAAGAAAGCTCAGAATTAATTTATCTTTTTTCAAACTTTCAGGCACTAATCGAGATGTCATAATGAGGTTTTTATCTAGAAACTGAAAAAAAAACATTAACAGCAAGCAAAGAGTTGATAAACACAAACTTTGAGACTGGATAGGCGTATTTACTGTTACTGAGTATTTTCAATTGAGTGGAGAGAGACAACTAAAGACTGCTACAGAAATTACTGAGGCTTTCATATTAACTTATTGTTACATTTTGAAGTTGAGATAAGAAATGGGTCTTTTTATTCATTCCATAGAATCACACAAGGCTGTCTCAACTTAGAAAGGGCCCGTCTCTTCTCGTCCTTATCAACACTTTGTATGAAACTTACTAACCAACTGACTTACTTTTCCCTATTAAAGCATTAAAGGATACCACTAATTGTTTGTACTAACTGGGACACATCTGAACAAAACTGAAAACCTAGAGCACCACCCTCAATGACACACAGCAGTAGAATTAAAAATGAGAGACTGTTTCTGTACTTTGTTACAACAGAGTACAGCTTTTTTATTTTTGGACAGGTAATTTATTTTCTGAGTTGACAGTAAAAATTAAGTATTTAATTAAGTATTTAATTAAGAGTTGACAGGCTTCCAACCTTAGACATCCAGAAGAGTTTAGGGAAGCATAAAGACAGAAAGGAAAATAAGAAATAAAAATAATATAAATAAATAAATATAAAATCTATTAAATAGATGGGGATTTAAAGAAAGGCAGTAATGAAACATTATCACTTGCCATACCTTAAACACACACAAAGTAGCACCTCCACTGATCAATTTTTAGAGGTGTTCAAAATGGCAAGGGTTGAGAGCAACTGCTCTCCCAAAAAGAGGGAGGTCCATGTATGCACGAGTACAGAGACATTTGAGCAGCCGGAGGTTATTACCGTGAGCAAGGAAAATTTGCTGAATCTTAAAGACAAACTAAGGACGTGATTTAGATATAAACAAGACATAACATCCTTATTTTCAGAGAAACTGAAAAGCCACCCTGCAGGGAGCTGAACCGCAGCCAACACCGCACAACAGAGAAGCTGAGCACCCGTGCAGCTCCCTGACAAAAAGGGGTGCGACCGGAACGGCCAGGATCGCCCTTAAGCAGCGGGAGAAGAGAAACTGCAGGAAACCACCAACACTAGGACACCGTGCTCGCAGCTTCGATCAACTCGGTCTCCCGGTGTTGACAGCGCTGAGCCGGGAGGCTCCGAGGCGAGGCTGCTCGGCCACAGGCGCTGGCTGCACACCCCGCATCTCCTCCACCGTCAGCTCCTGCTAGCCTCCCACGCGCGGCCCCCCCGCCGCCCCCGCCCGCCTCGCGGCGCAGCCCTCAGCCCGCCGCCCCGGCCGCCGCCTCGCTCCGCCCCGCCGCGAAATGGCGGCGCCGCCGCTGCCCGGCGGAGCCTTACCAAGAACTGCAGCATGGCGCCCGCCCCTTCTGCCTGCCTGCCTGCCTGCCTGCCTGGGAAGTCAGGCGGTCGACAGCGGCTCCTCTTCCGGGTCCCGGCCCGCCCTCATCGCCGCGGGGACGGGTGCGCCCACCAACGCCCCTGGGCGGCTGCACAGTCTCGGTCCTCGTCTTGGGCTTCCCCGGCAGGGCAGAGGCTTGGGGAACGCTTCCACCAGCCCCCTGCCGCTTTGGGGGATAAGGATGGGGCAAAGCGGGCTACTGGCCACCTTCTGAAGGCCTCCTTACATATGGAGAAGCGTCTGGTGGCAGCCATCCAGCCTGCCACTGCTGATATGAGAATCCGAGTAAATACAGAAAGAACGAATTCGAGATGGAGGCTTTAGGGAAATACCTGGGGAAATAAACACTCAGATGCAGGCGAAATCATGAATGATTTGGGCGTCCTGCTTCAGTGCCTCCAGAAATCTCGGCTTCCCGTGCCAATGCTAAAAGAAAGGTTTTCAGATGTGAAAATACAAAAAGAAAAAAGGCAGAAGAGGCTGTACTTTAGCACTTTGGAATTTCCAAAAGGGGATTTTAAAATGTGGACTATTATTGAAAGTACAGAGGGCTGTATTTGTTTGACAGAAGTATCTGTCCACTCAGCACTTGCTAGACCATGTGTAAAGTACAACAGCCAGGTTTGGGGCCTCCAGTGCAGGAAAGACACACAAACTAGAGGGAGCTCGGTGGAGGGCTACTGAGCTGGTCAGGGCTGGAGAGCGGAGGCTGAGGGAGCAGGGCTTGGTCAGCTGAGAGGAGAGGTGGCTGGGGACACCTGACAGCACCCCTTCAGGGCCTACAAGGGGGTTGGCGCTTAGACAGATGCAGGCCCTTCACAGCTGAGTGGATGAGAGACAGCAGGACAAGCTGAAACATGAGGTCTTGGCAGGATTTAAGGACAGACTGTTTCCTCGTAGAAGCATAGTAACATTAAGGTTGGACCTCCAAGATTATCTGGTCCAACCATACCTCTACCACCAATATCACCCACTAAACCATGTCCCTAAGCACCATGTCCAAACTTTCCTTAAACACCCCAAGGGACGGTGACTTCACCACCTCCCTGGGCAACCCACTCCAATGTCTGTCCAATCTCTTTCTGAGAAAAAATATCTTCTAATTTCCAACCTAAAACTCCCCTGGTGCAAATCAAGGCTGTCTAGTCCCTCTAGTCCCTCTAGTCCTGTCGCTGGTTATCTGTGAGATGAAGCTGACCCCCAGCTCCCCACAACTTCCCTTCAGGTAGTTGTAGAGAGCAATAAGGTCTCCCCTGAGCCTCTAACCCAATACTCCTCAACCAGGGGAAAGTCTTCCTCTCTTCAGGTTTTCTCTCTTGTTTTTGGTCTTAGTAGTGTTTGGGGGCTAGCTATAGCAGTGAAGACTGAAGCAAAGAAGGCATTCAATAACTCCTTCTCTATATCTGCCGTTACCAAGGCACCCACCTCATTTTGCACTCAAGGCAGCGCACCCACATTTTCCTTAGTCTTCCTTTTGCTACTGATGTATTTGAAGAAGCCCTAACCAGGCCTTGGCCTTCCTCATTGCATCCCTGCATTCTCTAACAATATTCCTATATTCCACCCAAGCGTTCTGCCCCTTCTTCCACATCATGTACGCTTTCGTCTTCTGTTTAAGTTTTCCCAAGAGCTCCTTGCCCATCCACAGAGGTCTCTTGACACCCTTGCTCAACTTCTTTCTCGTAGGGATGCACCTATCCTGAGCTCAGAGGAAATGGTGCTTGAATATTAGACAACTTTCCTGGGCCCTCTATTCCTCTAGGGCCTTGGCCCAGGGCATTCCTCCAATTAGGTCCCTGAAGAGGTCAAACGTTGCTTTCTTGAAACCTGGGGTTGCGGTACTGCTTTTTGCCCTGCTTCCTCCTCGTGAGATCTTGAACTCCCACATCTCGTGGTCACTGCAGCTGAGACTGCCCTCTACCTTCACATTTCCAACTAGACCATCTCTGTTTGTTAGTACCTGGTCTAGCAGCATCCCTCTCCTTGTTGGCTAACCTACCACTTGCATCAAGAAGTTATCTGTAGTGTTCTGCAGTAACCTCCTGGACTGTTTGTTCTGAGCTGTGTTGTCTTCCCAACAAATATCAGGGTGTTTAAAGTCCCCCATAAGAGCCAGGGCCTGCAAACATGAGGCAACTTGCAGCTGCCTGTAGGCCTCATCACTTCCTCTTCCTGATCTGGTGGCCTGCAGTGAAGACCCACCACAGTGTCAACCCTGTTGGCCTGCACTTTAATACTCACCCATAGGCTCTCAACAGGCACTTTGTCACCCCCTAGGCAGAGCTGCATAGATTCCGGTTGCTCACTCACATAAAGAGCAACTCCAGCACCTCACCCTCCTGGCCTGTCCTTCCTATAAAGCATAAAGGCGTCCATGGACATATTCCAGTCATGAGAGCTGTCCCACCATGGCTCAGTAACTGCCACAAGATCATAATCCTGCAACTGTACTCACACCTCCAGATCCCCTTGTTTATTCCTCATGCTGTATGCAGCACAGGCTGCCCAGAGAGACTGTGCCATCTCTACCCTTGGAGGTAAATCCTTTTACCCCAGGTCCAGCAGGGTAAAACACTGAGCAACACAGTCTGAGCTCAGAACGGACCCTGCCCAGAGCAGCTGGTTTGGACTGAGGCCTTCCTGAGGCCTCCTTCCATTTACACCTGAATCACCCAATCATCCTATAATCCTTTAAAAGCTTTCAAAAAGTCTGTGTTCCTTTTTTTTTTTTTTTTTTTTTTTTTTTTACCAGCACAATTAAAAACGAAGAATAGCTGTCCTTTGTGAAACACTTGGGATTTAATTTCTTTTAAATATTACATTTAATTAATCGAGGCTTGGTCAGCAAATGTCAGTTAGGACAGTTAGTCCTGCTGAAAGAAACAACCAAAAATAGCTACCCATCAACAACTACAAAGAGAAAACAAAATTAAAACAAAATAATAACAACAAAACCCACCAAAACAAAAAACACATGGCTATTGTAGAACTGTTAGGCAACTCTACCCTAAAACCAAGTTAACTCTATATGAGGACCAGTTTCCAGAAAGCTCAAATGCTTTATCTAATCAGAAAATGAGTAGCAGTCTGCCTTTCCAGAGCAGGTACCTCAGTGAGAAAGTGGTATACAAAGAAGTATCTTCTACCCATTTTCCAAAAGGAAGCAAACAAAGAGACTCTAAGTAAATTATATTTTTGGTGGTGGTGATGCTGTAGCAAGGAGCTGGACATGGGACAATTTTCAGGGTATCCCAAAGTCATTGTGCTGTGGTTCTCTACTTGAGTCAGAGCTGATGTCTGGCAAGAGAAAGAAGAGGTTTGTATTGGTGTGGCACAAGTGCTGGGGTTGGAATTTCTCACTTCCCTGAAACATTCCTTGCCTGCCTTCTGGATTAGTGCTCTCAAAAGCATTGGAAATTGCCTTGGTTCTGGAAATAGTAAAATATCACCTGGTAATAACTATTTTCCTAAATCCTGATGCCTTCTACACATGTATAGATAGCACTGAGGAAATTTTGTAGATTCCAATCTTAGCACATGACAAATCAAAAGGAAGAAAAAAAGACTTATAACAACAGTAATGCCTTCACAGTATCGCCACAAGGAGACAGGCTTTTCCTGTTTTCTGCTCATTAGAAATGATTTTATAATGCTTACACTGTAATGAATACAACATCTGCTAGGCAGTCTTGGCTCAACAGTTCTGTACACAGTTGTTTTCCTACATGCCATGAATTTCCTCTGTGACATTTAATGGGCAGCCAAAAGTAATTTTTTCCTTTAAAGTAAGCCCATTCCATTTATATTAGCCATCGCTGAATCATTTTGTGTTAGAGACTGTAGAGTGTGGGTATGGTAGATGGCATATTTTATTTGAAGAAAAAAATCAGTCTGATCTGACATATAAATGCAATTATTTTGCTTTCATAGATGGAAGAAAAGGAGGGGAAAGGAAGGGAAAAAAAAAAAGAGAAAGAGAGAACAAAAGAGAGAAAGAGAACCTAGAAAGGCGGGAAGTCCGGTAGGGAAGAGAGAGTGAAGCAAGAGAGAGAAAAGAGAAAAGAAAAAAGAAGAAAAGAAAAGAAAAGAAAAGAAAGAAAGAAAAGAAAAGCCAGCAAGAACAGACAACACGACAGCAACCCCGACACGCAATCCCAGACACGCCCCACCGCCATCCACCACCACCCACGCCTACCCCACCAAGCCCCTCACTCCCTCCACGCCCCTCACCTCCCCTGCCCCTGCCCCTCCGCCTCCCCCCTCCCCTCCCCTCCCCCCCCCCACTCCCTCCCCTCCCCTCCCTCCCCCCCCGCCCCCTCCCCTCCCTCCCTCATCCCTTCCCTCCCCTCCCTCACCCCCCTTCCCTCCCTCCCTTCATTCCCTTCCCGTCCCTCCCTCCCTTCCCTTCCCTCCCTTCCCCTTCCCTCCCTTCCGCCCCTCCCCTCCCCTCCCTCCCCTCCCCTCCCATCCCCTCCCCTCCCCTCCCCTCCCCTCCCCTCCCTCCCCTCCCTCCCCTCCCTCCCCCCTCCCTCCCCGCCCCTCCCTCCCCTCCCCCTCCCCTCCCCGCCCCTCCCTCCCCTCCCCCCAAAGAAAGAAAAGAAAGAAAAAAGAAAAGAAAAGAAAAAATCAACGGCCCTTCCCTTTTTGAGTTTTCCCCAATTTGTCTTAACCTTAGACCAGAAAGTGTCACAAGGAGGCATTTTCCAAAACAGCCAGAGCATTGACTGTACTCTGGTTGGAGTTAATTTATTTAGTTTTGGAGAAGAGAAGGAATCAGGGAGACACGGAAAAGACTCCAACTCCACTGATGCTATTCTGGACATTGTTCAGGGATGGAAAGAGTCCATCATGCCATGTGGCACTGGTTTTGTTTTGCCTGCTTGGAGATGGGTTGGTTACAGGGGCTGCTTTTCATTTGCTTTTTTTTTTTTTTTTATGTCCTGCTTCTCCTGTCAGGGGATGATACAAGTAGTAATCCTTTTTAGACTGGGGGCTCAAGGCTGTCTGGGTCTTCTTTTAGGGCAACTGTTGCAGCTTCTTCTCTTGTAGCTACCAGCTGTTCCTGTAAAGACTGGTAGCAGCAATGTGAAGAATAA